TGCTGAACCGAACCGGGACAGGTGATTCGCGATTCAAATCCATAAAACATTCAGTCTATAATGTATATAGTACAATCCCAAGTCTCTCCATAAGTAACTATTGGAAGAATCAGTGGCACTCTCGACTCTATCACTCTAGTCATGAAATCTGCACCCCAACAAGCCAAAAGTTACATCCGAAAATGATGAATGACTCGTGCCAACCTCTATACACTCTCAAAACTGCACTCCATCATCACTCACTTGCTATTCCATGAGGGGTAATCCACACTCAAGGAAAGAGCAAGGTTGTTATGATACCATTGTAACACTAGGGTTTAGAGAGAAACTCACTTGAAGATAGAAACGTAAACTCTGAAGATGAGAGATATCAACAATGGTTCTTCACTTCCTCAAATAGTTGTCACCAACAAGTACAAGGAGATAAGATATTATACTCAGCTCCACTATGTCATGTGTGTGCACGTTGAGTTCGAGTTTGAGTTGGCTGACGTTGGGTGTCGGATGCACGTTGAGACGCGGGGAGCGTTGGGTTGGATCGACGTTTCCCGTGGCATATAGTCGAGGCGAACTCGAAGAACTGGCAATTCTTCGAGGCGTCGGGATTCACCCATTAGCTTCGACTCTTATTCTACCTGAGTGTAGTGAGTTTGGCTCGACTCTTGTACCTTGTGTTTTGACGATTATGTTATAATGTTTTACTCAAAGAACTGCCAGTATAGTGAATATCGTCCTCGTAGTGTGTTTAAGTTTTTGCTTGTGTTGTTCTCGATTTTATTTACGTTGTTTTTGTTTGTGCAAAATGTTTTCTATCGTTTTTTTCTTGCGTTTCATTTCTATGTGATACCTTTCGTGATCATTGGGATTTGGAATTACGTGTGGTCCCGACTGTCCCGAGTGCAATTTTAGTACGTCTTGCTTGATAGTATACAGGATAAAGAAAGTGTCTGACGTAGTGGCAAGCGCAGTTAGTGTGGATGGCGACAAAAAAGCACCGTCGACACGAACTAGAGGAGAATTTGGAGTGAGCCATAACGTCGTCGGTGTTGAGTCTGAAGACAGGCGATAATCGATTATTGACCTACGCGAGCTTTAAAAAAAGCTTTCAGAGGATTCGGATGAGCTATCGGAAAGTTGGAGACTTTCCGAAAGCTCAACCAAGAATGAGAACTTGGAGTTCAAAATGTGCATGAGAATTTTGAGGCTATTTAAAATCGAAGCGGAGTTTGCATGGCACCTTGAAGAGAGCCTCAACACATGCAAAAAAGAAGTATAGAGTCAAGACTTTGAGTATCTTGCTGGGACTTTTGTTGTGATACCTTTGTGTGTGTACAATCTCGTTACTTATGTATGTATGTGTGAGTTGTGAGTAGAGCATGTCAGCTATGTATGATGTATGGCGATACCGAGTCGCACGACAACTAGCAACAACACCACTAACAATTCCACTGGTACCAACACCATCTTGTATATGGACATGTAGTTTGGGGACCAATGATGCATTTATGCGTCAATCTCCACAGCATATTCTCTACCAAACTCATGGTAGTCATCCACGGGTGGTAATTCCAGATGCTGAAACAATTCGTTCTAGCCAAAGAAGTGTGTGAACAACGCGGAATTACGCAAAAATTTCATATCACATCACGCATCAAACTCCTCGATAAAGTCATCGTGCTCAATGGTGCCCACTGCACCAGAGTACCGTTGTGGGCCCTTCATGACTCCGTCCATGTCCCAAATCAAAAGGGTTGTGACATTGAAAAATTTGAGCTCCGCAACACATTGATCTTTCGCATCAATTGTTGGACTAGGTAAAGATTATCGATATCTGAACCCACTGCGTGTAACTCCACCCCGATCATCGACAAGACCATCAAACTCATCCGTGATGACCAAATCTCCAACTTGCACGACTGTCAAATCCCCACAAAGTAGCCAAATCCACACCTTACGTTGTGCATGCACTAAGCTACTCTAGCCCTACTAGCTATGGGATATAGACAGCCTAACCTTTCATCACAGCAAGAAGACTCTCACGGTCTATTGGTCATCACTCCAATCTCACCGTGAGAGAAACAAAGATAGGTCGGCCGGTAATCAAGTCCAGCCGCACTATCGACAACACACATGAGTAAAACTACTCCAAAAATTGCCGTCACTCCTACACGGACGCGCACCAAAAAACAAGACTAGAGAGTATCCAAACACAAGCAAACAGCTAGCAACGACTCTCCAGTCTAAATGAAACATAGCACAAAACAAGACAACACACTCGGTATATTGCATCGCTTCGCGATTTTGATTCGATCACCATCGCCGCCCACTACCTTCAATCCATAAAATGTCTCCTCAGTACCGGACACTGAGTTTAGCAAGCAGTTCGCTTCCACTCCTCGAAAGACCGCATGCAACGCAGCCTCAACCAAGGCAACACCATTCGACACAGACAAATTGCCTCAATCGCTGACCCGCGCACAACAAGAAAATATTTTCTGCTTGAACGTGATAAGCTTCACGAATAAAAATCTCAGACATAAATTTATTTTCTCTTGCTATAAACCAGCAGATTCACAATCAAACAGAATTTGTAATATTGCACAAGCACTGCCTGTTGAGTTTCTCCACGATTTCAGAATAGTCGTATGCTCTATATGAGAAGAAAATTCTCTTCTGGTGAGTAATTCGTTCTGCTTCACGACTCGTTGTTTTCACTGTCATCTTAGAACACCATCCAAATTTCCTACGGAAAAAGATTGATGCATCCCTGGTCTTGTAAACTCTATTAACGCATTGCACAACTTCACAACTTGATAAAAGCTTCAGCAATCAATCCATTGAAGAGTAAATTTCCGAAATTGAACTTGTGAGTGTTTCTCAATTCAATTCATAAGCATTAACAAAGTATTTAACTCCTCTAATCCAGACCTCGAATTCACTTCATTTCTTCCCAAACCTTGTTCATGATCTCAAAAAAATTATTCTTCTTCGCAAAATCACGAACTCCAACTCTCCAATAAGACATCGATGAATCACAAAAGTTGTTCTCTGACACACTTTAGCCAAGATTCGAGCTTTGATGAATCCTTCTGAATTCCCACCAAAATTCACACACAATCCCGTGACTATAAATCACTGCAAACTCGTCTGAATTCTAACTAAATCCATACTGGAGTTCTTCGAATAAAATTAAGGGGTTTTTCCTCACTTGCAAACATGTCGGTCTTGATTAAACCACTGGCACTAAAACCGTCACACATACATAAGTCGAGCCCATCCCACTCATCTCGAGAATTCAGGTCGACGCTTGATGACACTCACTTGTCCAACGCTACATGCTCAACTCAAAGAACTAACGTTCTTTGAGTCATCGTCGACTCTATATCCTACGTGAAAAGTAATCCTAGCCTAACGGCTATATATAGTATATACAAAAATACATGACAACATCAACACTTCAAGATACTGAAAACCTTACTTCTTCATTGATGAAAAAAGTCTCGACACCATGAATTTTTTCAACTTGCTTGAGATACTCTACTCTACCTCTCTATTTATATTACTTGAGAAACTACCATAGTAACATATGATAATAATCTCACCACTTACTTTCACTAAGATAATTTAATTTTTGCTAGATAAATTTAGTTATAACTAGCTAGACTTAGTCATATCTAGACTAATCATACTTCACTTATTAGTTGTTTTTCACCAACAAGCTTGACACACATACAACAACCGATATTGCAAACCAATGATACAAGTGCGTCTATAACATTAGTACTTAGAGAAAATTCATTCGAAGATAAAATATAAACTTTAAAAATAAGATATCTTGAATAGGTTTACTCTCAATTATATATATATTCTAAATACATACACGAATGTAAAGTATTTCTCACCATCATCAAATCATCTCATAGTGGATCAGTGATATGGGAGATACTCAAATATAAGATATTTCTCACTACTATTGAATATTTTCATAGTGAATTTGTGATATGGCGGATACACGAATATAAGGTATTTTTCATTACCATCGAATCTCCTCATAGTGGATTGATGATATTACATATATACCTAATGATCATATTGATCGTTCACGTATTACTCATAACTAACACATTCAATCATTATCTAATAAGCATATGAAAATATGATGTGTTGTTTCAAACTAACACATTAATCACCATATGTATTGTGTACGTGACATTGTAGATATTACAATATTATCTACTCTATTCAATCTTGAATAACATTTACTTTAAATCTAACTAATTAAAGATTGTTACAAGAGATCACTCTCATAGATATTTTATTCTTTTGAAATTTTTTCGTATGCGTTTGGAACCCATTGATATTACAATGAGACAATTGAATCTCCATATATAGTTTTTTCATACCAAATTCTTTTTTTTAAATATCAATTGAGTAAATATTGATAACATCATAAAGTAATCAATTTTTTTCCAATCACAATTAGATTTTTAAAGTATATAGTATATATGAGAAATTTTTGAATATTTATTATAATTTTTTAATAAATATGAAAATTTTTAATATAAATTTTTATTAATAGTGATTTTGTTGTTTATAAATCATAATAAATATTTAGTAATCTGAAAAAAATAATCGTCAAGTAGTATTTATTATTTTAAAGATTGGAAAATTATTATATTTTATCATCATACGAAAAAAAATATGGTAAAATAAATTGGACGTGAAAAAAAAAAATTTGAATGGCAAGGAAATAATCCAATGCTACTTTGGATCTATAAAACGATAGATTAAAAGAATATATATTTTACCTTCTATTATCAGTTTGAAATCCCTGGCGAAAGGAGCAAAGCAGGATGAAACAATATTTGAAGTACAGCCAATAATCCCTACCAAAGAGGCCAAGGAGACCGGTTTGCGTGCAATAGGGTTGTCCAGAGAGGAGTTAGTTGCCCGCCAAGATAAAGGCGAGCGTGGACCGGGCCTTATCCTGCGGATCGGACAACAGCCCAAGAAGTGGTTCGATTACTTCGGACATACGTCGCCGAGTCGATCGACGAAACGCGATTCTTCGTTCGAATTCCGCTCACTCCAGCTCTCGGTTTGCACGCGATTTCGCCACCGATCGTCGACGAGAGACGATCCGAAAGGCCGGGCGCGACGATGCGGCCTCTGCTCCCTCTGCTCGGCTGATTTATTGATGATCGCCGCTTCGATTTTGGAGACATGTTGAGGGATGCATCCGGGATCGAGCGTAGCGATCGATCGATGAGTTGGTGAGAGGACGGCGGTGGAGTAAATTGAAGTGAGTGGATTCTGAAGGAGATTCGGTCGAGGGAGGGAAAATGCCGAAGAAGATGGGGATCAACAGCAAGGCCGAGGAGGCCAGAGGCCGCAAGGCCGCTGCCGAGGCCGAGAAGAAGGAAAAGGATCAGAAGGTGAAGGAGGAGAGATTCTGGAGCGAGGCGGAAGGGCAGAAGAGCAGGGCGGCGAAGAAGAAAGAGGAGGAAGCGGAGCGCAAGGCCGAGGCGGCTGCCAAGCGTGCTGAGGCGAAGAAGCTTGCGGAGCAAGAGGAGGCTGAGATTGAGAAGTCTTTGAAGCGCGTGGATAAGAAGGCAATTCGGGTCGGAGTTCCCGTGCCCAAGGTCACAGCTGCAGAACTTGCCAAGTACAAGGAGCAGGAAGCTAAGGAGTTGCAAGCCACGGCGCAGGCCGCCAAGAAGCGCGAGGCCCGAACGGCGAACGAAGATGAGTACGAAAAATTGGTAGATTTTGAAAATACCAATCGTGACGACACGTTGGTCGATGCCCACGATTTGGAATCCGCCCTTGCGCAGATCGTTATTGATCCTACCGCCGATCGCCATCCTGAGAGAAGGCTGAAAGCGTCTTACAAGGTTTGTTGCGTTCGACCTTTTGTTTGACTCTAGACATTTGTTTCTCAATCACGTGCCAATTGTCCATTTCTCTTCTTCGCCGTCAAGTTTGTGGCAGATTAGGGTTGTTGGGTGGTAGCAAGTTTCAGGTGTTGCATTCATGCTCTGTTCAAATGATTATCATAATTCACGAGTATTGTATGATGGGTTACATGGGGGTAGGAGGGTCATATCTGTTTCCATTTTCCTTCGGGTTTTAACCTGGGAAGCATATGTTAGATTCTGGTGCAAGTTTTTTTAAGAATTAGGCAATATTTACTCGTTAACACTGTCTGCTGTGGATTGAGACGTATAGAATTGTCAAAGTTCTTGTTCATACTTTAGCGTCCCCCAATGTAGACTGGTAACTGAAGACAAGGGTGAGGAAATAATTGTGACTTTCTCAAAGAGAATTTAGAAAATCCCCATTAAAGACGTTTACAGAGTCTCTTTCTATCAAGCGTTTGACCTCAGTCACGGAGTGAGCAGGTTAGAGATGCCAAGCAATCTTGTGTTTCGTATGTTCACCTGTGTTCACTTCTGGAGCTTTTCGGTTCGGTCTGATTAGCTGCCAAGCACAAGATGCGGTTCCATTTGTGAAGGTGGTCTACCTTTTCAGGCTTGGGCCTCCATCGTAGGTGCTTCGATTGGCCTTCTTCTTACCATGATTGTGTATCCGCTGCAGGCTTTCGAGGAAGCCGAGCTTCTAAAGCTGAAACAGGAGAAGCCTGGTATGACTCATACTCAATACAAGGATATGATTTGGAAAATGTGGAAGAAATCGCCGGACAACCCTCTGAACCAACCGTCATCAACCTCCAAATAAGTGACTGGACTGGTTTTATTTATCTTTTGGTGATTATGGCTGGAAGGCTCCTTACTCAGGGCAGGTTCTGAGCGTGCTCCCTGAATGTTATTCAGACACTCAGACGCTGCTTTGTTTTTTTTCCAATTACTCGATTGAGGTACAAACTTAATGGTTTGCCATTGTAGCAATGGGAGCAGAGCAGAGTGGTGGTCGCCAGGGGAAAATTCAACATTCTGTAATGTTAGCTGGTTTGTTCCAGTACGGATGCACTGTATTGAGATGATTAATTCGTCAACTATTAGTTCTAGGACTGTGTACAGCTATTTAGTGCGTGACATGTAAAAATGAGATGCTGAAAGACTTACAGAGGTCTTTCAACAGCCATATTTCTTGTATACGGGAGACTCCAGGTGGTCGATGTGCATGGAACTTGCAGCCCATGGGAGCTTGAGAGTTATTGTCGACTCTCTTGGTGTCATATTATTTTGCCATAGCTCTATCTCATTCTTTTAGTTTTATGGCATGTTGACGGAGATTTGCAAGATTTTAGTGGCACAAGTGCAATCTTTACGGTCTCCGGAGACCGTAAGTTCCGTTCTCGAGTTTTTGTCTTCGTTGTCCTGCGTTCATGTTCTATTTTCGATTGTTCCCAGTATGGTTGTTCAACAACGAGGATTGTCAGGTTGACTCTTGAAATCCTAGAGGAAATTTGGTTTGTTGCAGTTTGGAGTGGAGTTGTTGAACACTTGCCAGATTCCGTCTTCGGTGAAGTCAGCCTTACAATTGCATGGTCTGTTCTTTTATCTGGTCTTTGGTATATCACGGGTGCGTCGAAGGTTATCAGGCACATACATTTACGGGCCATCTCTTTCCCTCTTTTAATCAACTATTAGGTCTTGGCTGTCGTGGGAACAGTTCGTTGCTTAAGAGTATATTATTACATTCCATCACGAGTTTGTGTTTTTTTGCCACGAAGTAACAATATGTTTATTAGCATTCTTATACAAAGTATTTGGGTGGATGATGATCACAACTGAAAAGGACCGATGTGATATAGAGAAATTTGAAGAAAAAAGTCAGATGTAGCAGTGTTGGGAAGGAAATAGTGCGCACTTGAATGGACGTACCCGGTCAAATAGTTGACGTGAATGTTGCAATATTTCAAAGCTCATCGGTCCACAGTTCTATCGGAGTGTCGTAAATCTCTCTCTGACGTGGAAAAGCAAGCGAGTGACATAGAGATCGAGATGGTGTACACGTTACAGAATGTCATGTTACTTTACTCCCGTTGAGTGAGCTTCGGAGGCTTGTATGTTGATGTTGATTTCATGATACAAAACATCAGTGGACATCTTTAGGATGGCATGGACAAGAGTTTAAAACAGGTAACATTACAAGCAATAGACCGATGAGAGGAGCGATGAGGTAAAGGAAACATACATAAGTGCCATTCAGCTGCAATTGCAAGAAGAGAAGAACTAGAGCAAAAGGATTGTACAGTCCACTGTTAGTCAGTAAAAATGTATGGTAAGGACTAAGTTCACTTCAATGAGCGATTCTACATATGATAAGCATGAGACACAAACTCTTTTGCAAGATGATACCGCGCAATAGCACGATATTTTTGAAGAGTCCAATTTCGCTGTGTAATTTGTTGGATCTAGGGGGTATGGCAGGACTTCAAATGATCTTCTATGTAAGTAACTAGTGTCACTCATGAGAATTATTTTACTTGTCTTTTTTACTTTCATCTATAGGAAGTTAGATGGAAGATAAATGTGAAAGTGAGATAAATTGGAAAGTGCCCTTTGAGATATATTAGAAAGTTAGAAGAAACGATAATCATCACTTTATAATTTGCTCTTTTATCTGTAAATGTTTGATAAATGACTGTTGGGGTCCTTTTGTACAGCATCACATTAAAAGAAAGTTGAGTTTGTGATACGAATTGACATACAGATTTCATAATCTTTGCCAAGTTTATGAAATGGGAAATTTATATTTAAATCAGGAAGTTTATAAATTGAAGTAATTTTTTTACCGTGATTGTAGAGCATTTTTAGCCAACTGTACATTTTATAAATATTTGTTATCTTTGCATTTTAAATTATAAACAGACTCATACTTAGACTATATGTTGGGGATATGAATAAAGATGAATGTATATACACTATATTATTATGTTATAGGACAGAAGTTTTAGTTTTAGTCCAGGAGATACGACTAGAGCCTTTGTTTCTTTAAGTGTCTAGCATTTGGATTCCAGTTGGATAGGATTCTCATAAATTAAAAAGCTTGAAGAATATATATATATATATATATATATATATATATATAGTTTTAAGGGTATCAAATAATTTCTTCTGCCAAAAAATGAATAATATAGTCCTGCTCTTCTAAGGGGTACGCTAGTGACTCTCGCGTGAAACATGCATTAGTATGGTCTGATTTACACTCTTAAAATTGCCTGATGTACACGTGTTAATGTATTGATACTAGAAGTATGACAACAATACAAGGAAACGTATAGAGATGGAATATAATTATTAAATTTACATCTTCTTCTTTATTGAAAATTGATAACTAGAACAGAATACCAAAAAAGATGACAATTAGTATTCCATTCCATCCTTAAGGAATAGAGAGATAGTAAAAATGGGAAATAAAGAATAATACACTTCATGATGTGAAGTGGGGATGGATATGGACTAAACCTTAGAAACGACTCTTCAAGTGTCGCCATGAGTACGTGGAAAATGGTCACCCAAATCCAAGAACGAAATCCCAGAGAAAACAGGAATAGCGCAACCCAAGCGAGAAACTTGTCCTCTCGCTGTCTGGAAAATGAATCTATAATCCGATGGCGATAATCCACCACATGTCGCTTGTGGGCCAATTCATCGCTGGGCTAGTTAAGGAAAGCGCAGGAGAGCATGCTGTAATTATCTGGGGGCCGATGCTCTGGGCCAACAGCAGAGCCGAGAGATCTGACATTTCCAGAGTAAGAAGCTATAATAAGTTGGAGGCAAATGCCCGCGACCAGGCAGGCAGCAGCCCGTGGAGCTGGGAAGGTGCCCTGCACGAGCTTGAGCTCGCAGCCATGCTTTGAGATATGAGCTATCGGCATTCAACAGCGTCCGGGAAATCTCTCTGGCTGTCGAGTTTCCATTCGGCTCGAATGGGCGCCCTCCCCCCCTCGGCTCGTCAAGACCACCTGTTGACGCTTTAATTCATGTCTTCGTGTTCCGGATAAGGATGTCGGCCGATCGCGAATCTTTCCACTGCTCTGCTCTACATGCTCTGTAAAGAAGGATCGGATCCTCGACGATTTGGATTTGGACTCGGGACGATGGTTGTCGACCTCGAGAGTTGAAGAGCCGACGATTGAGAGCCCGAGGATCGTGCAATTGAGACCGAGAGTCGTGCACTTGCGGCGGAGAAGAATGGCTGCCCTCGCGGATTTGCAAGGATTCGTCGCTTCGAGTATCGCTCCATCCTCCGTCGCTTGCACCAGAGGCAGTGGGAGGGTGTTGAAATCCGCCGGTGTCGATAGTGTTTGTGTAATAGGGAGAAATGTACAGAGTTCTGTGGACAGCCGATGCGCTGCAGTTGCTGGTAATGGAGGCAGAATCGGGTTGCAAGGTTTAGATTCGAAGGTGGGGCTGAGATTCTGGTCGACCGAGCAGCAATTGGGGATTCGGGATGACACTCAAGCTCATCACGGTGTGAGGAGGAGGGCGTTAGCACCGCAGGCGGATTGGGAGGCAGGGGCGGAGCCGAAGAAGAAGACGTGGATTCCTCTGGAGCTGATTGCGAGCGAAGCGGAGTTTGACAGAATTCTTGGCGAAGCGCGAGAGCGCAACGAGGCCGTGGTCATCGACTGGATGGCTGCGTGGTGTCGGAAATGCTTGTACTTGAAGCCGAAGCTTGAGAAGTTGGCAGCCAGTTACCACCCGAGCATTAGGTTTTACTACGTGGATGTCAACAATGTCCCCCAAGCGCTCGTGAAGCGTGCAGCTGTGACAGACATGCCCACCATCCAAATCTGGAGAGATGGCGCACACCAAGCGCAGGTCATCGGTGGTCAGCAAGCTGCGATCGTCATCGATCAAGTTCGGGATATGATCACCAAAATCACCGTTCCCGAGTGACTTTGCTGAGCCTGTCATTTGCACTACATGAGCTCATCCCAGCCCATGAGTCGTCGACACAAATTCAGCGATGCAGTTGTCGAAGGACGACGTGCCATCGTGTCTTCAGAGCTCGAATGTGGCGATTGAGCTTTGTCGACTTCACATGTGATCTAGAATTGACATCTCGAGCTAGCTCGTCGTCACCCGGTCACGAGCGGCTGTAGAATTCACGCCCTTCGTACGCCTTTCGGCGCCCTTGTACGATTGAGTCGGCCCTTAGGTTAGAGAGAGTAGCTAATTGTCAATTCGCGTTCGGAGGACGAGGCATTTGTTGCCAGGCTGAACATTGCTGAGGATGTCATTCGTCTGGCGAACTGGTATGTAAAGAATTTAGGCAGTGAGAACGATGGTTTTGCATGAACTCATGGGTGGTGGTGTGTCGAGAAGAAGAGTCGAGTGGGTGAAATCCTGGCTGCTCAAATGCCCCCACCCTGTGAAATCTTGGCTGCTCAGATTCCTCGTTTGCTGTTTGGAGGGATGAGCAGGCCGCCTCTCTGCTTTCAAGCCGATCAGGTCAGATCATCAAAAGTGAATTGTGAAAAGGATCCTGAAATCCTGGTTTTCTGTCATCGCAATTAGTCGTCACAGATCTTGGAAAGTCTACTTGCTCTCTTCTATGAACAAGCAGAACTCTGAAAAATCCGCCGTGTTCACAGTCGTGGAGAGTCCAAATCTTCTTCATGGTAGATTCGATTCTTCCCGGATCGGAGCACATTCCTATTGTCAAATTTGTCAACTTTCACGGAATGGCCCAAACTCACCGATCAAGCAGATACATGTAGTCTGATCTTGGCTCTGCTAATGCAACCAGTGTTCTGACCGTGTTAAGACGAATCGCACTAACCGGTGAGGTATTTTATTGTATATGAAGATTTCAACTCTAACGAATTCATGTTCATATAGTTCGCCAAACTTTAAAAGCATAGGGAAGAATTCATGGTAAACGTTTTTTCATTTAGTCGATTACATTATATTTTTTAAAATCTATATGAACTTTTAAAAATTGAATATTGGTATTTTTTATATGAAAACATATATTGTGTATCAAAATGTGTATGAATCATGTATATGAAATTTTTATTTATTTTATGTTAATTGAATTATAAGCTGTTGATATGTTAGATTGAAAATATTGATAATTTAAACATCCGATAAAAGTCCATATGACTCTTGAATTCATATTCATTATTAATCAACAAATTACCCATCAAATTTATTAAAAGTGAGCTGAATATCTTCACATGTTTCAATTGCAATTGAGTTCAATTGCATCAACATAATGGTACATCATCAACACTTGAAGTTCAAAAAATAATATTCAGAAATGTGATCTTATTCTTATTTATGCATCTTAATTATACTACTTATTCCTACATACTTTAATTTTGGCCTTGCATATGATAGATATAAATACAAATAATCTATTCTTATTTGTGTTTAATTGTATTACTACCTCCTACATAGATTGATGTACACTTCTCAAATGTAATACATATTAAAATCTTCCAAGAGTCACATATGCTAGGGTTGGAAGTCATGTTTGGGAGTTATCACTCACAAGAGTAAAATGTGCAGACTTAAGTATAAATCTACCAAAAATGACACACACTTATGCTAAGATTGGACATCACTATTGGTTTCTGTCATTCACAAAAGAAAATTGCATAGCATTTTTGTCTAATATTTGACCTAACTAGACAATTCTGTAATTGCGTTGTTTGCTGCAAGATTGACTCCATTTGATATTCTCTATTACTCATGACGATTGACGATGGCATTATTAATAAGTTAAAATACGAATACATGAACAAAAATTTGAATGAAACAGTCAATGACATTGTTTGTATCAAAATATTTCATTGAAGATAATAAAGAGTGCAATATTAAAATATACATTTACAAAAAAAATTTGCCACATTACATTTTTTCATGTCTCTATATTTTGGTCATGATGATATTCTACCTCTCAATTTACTTTTGAAACTTACCATGTGTCTTCGTATTTACTATTTTTAGAGTCGACCAAGGGTTAGGAGTCGAAAAGAGTATAGGGTCAAAGAGACTCGAAGAACGTTCAGTTCCTTGATTCGAGTTTGTAGCGTTGGATCAATCTTCAATGGGTTGGCTATGGTGCCCGTAAGCGCAAACCTAGATTTTCTAGTGGGTGGGTTGGGACTTATTCTTCAGTGGATTGGCTATGGTGCCCGTAAACGTCGACCTAGATTCTCTAGTGATTGGATTGGATTTAATTGTACATGACGTTTGTGTATTGAATCAGTGGGGTAAACACAAGTAATTTCAGTTGTGGTACATTTGAGTGTGTACGTTTTTGTTCCTTATGTATGAGTGTGAGTAGCATATCAGCGATATAGAGTGTATGACGATACATATTTGCACGACAAACGGTCAATTATTGGATAGAGTCATAATACTGATTGATATTGTGAATAGTAACGTATTGTTATTATTGGGCAAATATACTAGTTACAATCTAATGGTTCTTGAATTTCATATCAGTGATGGTAGCATGTCATTCATAAGAGATGGCACTATCACTAAAATCATGTCACTGTCATTATTGGGATGTTTAACTCTGGATTTAACCTGCCAATAATGACATACATTCGTCATATGGCTAAAAGTAACTATTGGGAAATGTCACTTGCAAGAGTAAAGTGATCATCATTGAATATCATCTCCCAATACTAACATATATGAGCAGCAATCTTATAGATAGTTCCATCCATCCTAGAACATTTTATAAGTTATTTGTTAGGTTGCAAGATCTCTTTCATTCTGTATTTTTCACCACGATGAACGTTGACGCTATTATTGTATTTGAATAACCCATACATGCACAAAACTTTGAGTAAAACAATTTATGATACCATCTTTAGCAAAACATTTTACTAAAGTTTAGAATGTCATGTGTCTTCTACTCTTAAAGCTTAGAATGTTATGTGTCTTCAACTCTTAATTCAAGTTATGATACATTTGAGTTTGAATGCTCTCGTTTACTATGTGTGTATGAGTAGCATATAAGTTATGTAAATTGTATGACAATATATATTTGCACGACAAAAAAGACTAAACTAATGAGTTACATATTTTAAATAAACGTGAACCACATTATCTTTTTCATTAATATAATCATGATAAAATTGTAATCTCAAAAATTACATTTGAAACTAGTATTATTAGTAGTATCATGTCACTATTGCCATTTATTGTTTTTTTATTATTTGACAGATTTACTAGTTGCAATACAATGGATCTTGATTTCAATGTAACTAATGCAAAGACATAATTGCTATTTGCAATCTAATGGTTATTGAATTCATTGTCACTTTTAGAAAACTACCACTTATACGAGGTTACACCATCAGGAGGTTAAACATTGTATATTAACAATACCAAGTGTTATTTTTAATAAAATTGGTTTGTGATTGAATGGATCAATTACAAATTAATGAATGAAAAGTGTCGGAAGTAAAACTGAAAATCATTATTTGAAAATTTTAACATCTAAATATATATCTTTGAAATCAGATTGAGAAGAGAAGAAAGATTATTCATAGAAGAATTTGAAATTTGTGCAATATAGTGAAAGTTTTGAATGGTTGAAAAAAGAATTTATTTTTCTTCAATTAAGAAAGATGATTAATGACCATATCACTGTGTTATGTCCTATGTGCTGTAAGAAATTAAGAATATTATAAGGATATGGTGTCTTGATAGAGTGTGTTCTTCCATTGGACAAATTTGAAGAAGATGTGTTTGCAGCATCAGTGTATGTCTGATATTAGATCTGTCCAAAGTATCCTTACTAGAATCTTGTACGGAGTTTTCTACTGTCACTTCTTTCACATTCTGGATTTCGACAAAGGTTCCTCTCTCTCTTGGATTGGAGTACATTTGCATGATGTTTTCTTTACATGTATTATTCCAACAGTTTGGAAACGTAATGAGTCTAATTCTGAGTGGTATCTTGAACATTATTATAAATTCAAATAAGATGTCATTGAGACGCAAAAAGCTATCATTATAAATTACGTACCACAACATTTACATTTAGATATTTTTAATGAGTTTGAGATAAGTTGTAGGAATAGGAGTGGGGATTGGGGAGTTAAATTTTGATCCTTAATCTATGCCAAGGAATTCAAGGCAACACCTAACGTATAGAATTCAAAAAAAATTATAACATTTCATACATTAAAATCGTACTCTCGCCAATAAAAACATGGTCTGATTATGGTCTTACGGTTCTCGACAGAACTGTAGCGACGCAAAAAAAAAGAGCTGGAGAGGCGATCTGCGAAAGACAGGGATGTGAACAAAGGCGGTGGTGGAGGGAAGGTGAAGGAATCACGAAAGGAAAAGGAGGCCATTGACGTGATGTGCTGTGATGTGCAAGACGAGAGGAGGCGATCCTCAGAAGAGGGCGGCTTGTACGCCGTAGAGTACAGAACAGCGGAGCTCGAGTTCCTCACAGCCAAGTACAGGCGGGGGGATAAGAGAGCCAAGTATAGCTGGACACCCGAAGCCTTTCCTACGCGGATAGAATGCGCAACACGACATTCTCCTGTACACGAGTACGGCACCGTCCGATGGAATCCGACGGCCCGATGCGCCCGAGCACGAATCTTTGTGCTGCCGTTCTGTTCAAAGCGCTGGTCGAGATGTTTGAAGTTGGGAGCAGCCTCGCCTCCACTGTGACCGTCGGATTGGATCCAACGGCTTCGTGTGCGGACGGTGGTGGATGACGCTCCCTCCATGTGCGTGTGTTCGAAGCGAGGGAGGGAGGGGCCAGAACTCCGCGCCTTTCAGAACCTCTGTAATTGTTATCCACGGGGCGTTTTTCAAACCCGGTCCATATCTACAAGACCATCACTTCGCATCATAATATTAATAATGTATTCGTGCCCTGTGTCAACTCGAGGCAAAAATGCGTCTTTTCCTTTTTCCTTTTTCCCCCTTTTCGTTGACACGGTAGCACTGGACTGCATTTTGTCCTAAAATAAAAGAAATCATCTCTTCTTTTTCAAAGCTCTGCTGCTGAAAAATTTATTCCCATTCATATATCATGGACAATTTGGATTGTCCTGGCATGAGCATATTAAGGTCTGGAAAAATCCATTTCTTCATTTTCAAAGATCTACTGCTGAATATTATATTCCTTTGATATATCATGGAAATTTTGGATTGTCATGGCATGAGCACATTAAGATCTGGAATTAATTATCTCTTCTCTGTCAAAGCTCTGCTGCTGAAAAATATATGCCCATCGATATATCATGGAGATTTTGGAATTCATTTATTTTTATTCTTTAATGCATGTAATAAGCATCATTACGGTTCTTGAAGGTGATTAACGATTCCACACCCGGGATTAGAATAAGCAGAAGGATTAACAAAGAAGGAGATGGAGTGCAATTTGGGCAATTTTGAAGGAGAATGAGGTGTTACCACCTCATTCTATATTATGCTTCTATATGTTACCAATCGCCTTTGTGGCGATTGGTAACATATAGAAGCAAATCTAACAGAACGGATCACGACGGAGGAGGAGGACGGAGTGTGAGTCGGGGCTCACTCACGGTGAGGCCTATATACATAGAGCGGACAAAAGACCGCAACGGGAATGAGGACAGGACAAGACGCTCGGGGACAACTGGCATGGCCCTGTTCGCTCGTCCCACGGATCCGGGACGAGTACGAGGGCCAGGACGAGGCCTCGAGCGGCGCGGGGAGGGGAGCCGCGAGGGACACAGTGGCGCCTAAAGGAGAGCCAAGGAAGGAAAGCCGAGGGGAAGGGAAGGGAAGGGAAGGGAGAAGGGGACGGGGACGCGGAGAGGGAGAGAGTCCGTTTGGCGCGCTCGTTCCTGAGTTCGGGGTCCTTCGCTTTCGACGACCGACCGAAGGAAGGAAGTCCCTTTGCCCTTTCATCTCCATCTCCTGCTTCTTCTTCCTCTTCTTCTTCTTCTTCATCTTCGTCTTCTTCTTCGTCACGTCCCCGTCCTGCGCATTGCGACCGGATCCGAGCCCTAGCCCGGGCCGAGCGAAATCGCAGAGTCTCGTTGGCTTTGGCAGGCGCGCGTCAGGATCTTTGGAGCGGGCTGGCGCGCGGGCGAGCGTGCGAGCTAGCCGTTGAGGAGCGGGGGCCCGTAGTCGGACGAGGTGTCGATAGAGAGAGAGAGAGAGACAGAGAGAGAGTTTTCGTAGAGAAAGGGAGAGAAAGCCTCGAGAGCAGCAGGAGCAGCAGCAGCGGGAGCTGAATTGGGGGCGCAGACTGGAGCTGGATTAGATTGGATTGCTCGCTCGATCGATGAGGAAGGCGGGCAGTGCGTCCGCCTCCGAGCAGGTGTTGCTGCTTCTGTAGGAGAGACGGGACTCGGGGCTGAGGCACGGCAATGGACAGAGAAAGACAGAGGGAGAGAGAGAGAGAGAGTTGTCTCGGGTGTCTAGGACGTAGGTAGCCTTTCCTCTCGTCGGACGAAGAAGGCGGGCCAGATTCGTAGGAGTGGGCATAATCGCGTTGTTTAGTTTCGAACTCGTCGATATCATCAGCTTGGATCTGTTTATCGGGGGAAGTGTTGCATCCGTGAGTGGTGGATGGTTGGTTGGGCGGTCCACGAACAGCGGTTGATCCGTTCGTTGAAATCTTTCTGGACGAGATAAGTAGACTTCTGTTAGAGGCCGAGTTGATCAACCATGGGTGACTTCAATGTGGTACTGCTCGTCATTTGCATTATCGTGTGCATTGTGACGTTCATTTTCAATACCTACATTCTTATCAACTATCAACATCCCGATGACTCGAATCAAGCGTATTTTCCGAAATTTGTCGTGGTTCTCGGGCTCTCCGTTGCCGAGATCTCTATACTCATGCTTCCGGCCGATGTTGCCAACCGCCGTGCTTGCCAACATGCCATCTACAATGGATCGTGTAACCTCACGCTTCCCATGAAGCAGTTGTGGTATGCGATATATTGTATCAATGCGATACTCGTCTTCGTCATTATCCCGTTCTCGATATTTTACTACGAAGGTGACCAGGAAAAGTAAGTTTTACTTTCTATCCAGTGCTTCAAATTTTTTCAGTGACCTGCACCTCCTTCCAGGGGTCATACATATGTCGGGAAGCATGCCCTTCTCCTGATACCAATCGTTCCCAACTCCGATAAACTTCCAAACAAAAATACTGTGCTACATTTCTAGAAGTAGAGGCATACACTATTTCAAACGTGTGCTTAATGAAGAGCTTGTTGCAATGTTGTACTCTGCGTCTATCAAACTCTCATCAAAATGTTTCATCAGCCTACATTGCTATGTCTGGAAGACTTGAGCGTTTCCTGCTGTGCTCTTTGTCGACGTTAACTGTTCCTGTCGACGGCAAGACTTCCACTCGATCTGCACACTGTAGAATACGTTTCATCATGTGCGGTGGACGTTAACGCTTTCTTGCCATGTGATTTACAGGACTTGGACTCAGCGGGTATTCAGTGCTGTATTATGGTGTGGTGCGACAGTCATCGTCGTCGGACTAATCCTGGGAATCCTGTACGGTAAGAATTTCGAATGACCTGTAATCTACTTCAGATATTTCATTAGATATTCGCGCGTTCTTGCTTTACTATAGACTTCTCAGTCTGTTACAGTAGCGGCTGATCGATCACCAGTATGTTATCCGCTCTTTGCCTGTACCTCAGATCCACGCCAAATTTCTCCTGTAGGTTGGATCTTGTGGTTCCTACCACATCAGAGCCCAAATGTGTCTTGTAATATATGGAGATTTGAATTGAAGAGCCATATAGGTCAGATCAAGACACGTTACTGGGGTGCAACTAGTCACAGACCTCTCCATCCTCAAAGTGGCGGATTTCAAATTCGCCATCTATTTGATCTGGAATCGCGTTTTCAAAGCTGAACGTTCCATAAACAATTTGCGGTTAGCAGAAAGGTCATGCGATTTACATTTCCGAAATAGTTGGAATTTATATCACAAAGTTTTGGTCTCTTTTGTTCGCAGGTCTCGTTGGTAAAGTCGACTTCACCGTTCGAAGACTGAATTCCAACACTGTCGCTTTTACAACCGACTTCAGTCAGCTGACAGCAACTAATCCCTGTTTTCCCTCAACCATTCGGACGAATGAACCTGCTAATCAGGTACGCAACATGAGGGGATTCCTGTGTATATGCCTTTCATATGTTTCTAACGTTTTACCTGCGCGTGTATACATGTTCATCTGGCTGACTGTGAATGTTTGGGGAGCAGTGTGCAGCGTATCTTGCAAGCTCGGACTCTATTGCCACCTGGACGATGCAGACTTCTTTCCCAGTATATGTCATTGCTCTTTCAACGATCCTCGGTTCGTTCTTCTTTTCGGTGAGATTTCTAACTCACCTTTTTTACTATAATTCGTGATTTTTTGTAAGTAGATTGCTGGAAAGCAGGCTATCGCACACCACTACATTGCCACACGAGTTCTGAAGATTCATTAGTCCCCATTCCCGTCTCCTACTGATGACACGCATAATTACCTTTCTTAGTGGACAAGTGGGTGGTTATCATCTTGGTAATTAACGTCTGGTGTACATGTTTCCAGTTCTTTGGTGGGATCGGAATTGCCATCCTTCCGCTCAGTTTGATCTTCGCATTCATCCGGAGACCCAAGACCATCATTACACGTGCCCAGTACATTAGGGAAGCAACAGATCTCGGCAAGCGTGCCAAGGAGATTCGCGAGGTTGCGTTAGCACTGCAGCGTGAGGAAAGATCCGGAAGCAAAGGTCGCAAGTGGAAGAAGAACGTGAAGCAAGTTCAGCAGGTTGGAACCCCTTGTAGTCCTTATCCCTCATCGTGAGCTCTTTATCTGTTCGTTTGCTTTGAAACCTGGATGTTTTTTTCAATTTGAGTCCAAAGGAGAAATGCAGGTCTTGATGTGTCCGGCAATCGCATTGTCGAATGTCGACTTCGTTAGTCGTTTCTGTGTATCAATGCATATTACTCTTTTGCAGGAACTTGTGTATCTGGAACAAGATCAGGAGGCCCTCGAAGAGGTTTACCCCCAGGGAGAGAAGGTACTTCACACGTGGATATACCCAAGTTTTGACCTCGTTCAATTCAGAGTAGTTCTTCGCTTGGTTTAACGTGCGGGGACATTCAGTCAAACTTATTTATGTCGTTGACAATCTCTGCGCTTCTCTTAAGGTAGACTTCGATTTTGGAGGAACCAGTATTGTCTGCAGGTGACAATACCGGTCTGTACTTCGAAACTGAGGAAGCTATTTAACCCGTGCTATTTTCTTGCTTGCTGTCACAGGCCGAGACTTCATGGGCCCTCACCGTCCTTGGCTACTTGGGAAAACTGTTTTTTGGACTCATTGGGTAAATAATCAATCCCGTACCGACCTTCTTTGAACCTACAAGCAAGAACACATGAACAAGAACATGACTGTGAATTTACTTCCTAATGTAACAACCAAGTACTTTCATGTCCATGTTTACATGACGAGAAAGTTCTCTTTGAGAATCTCACTCCTGTATTTTGCGGTACATTGATGCATCTTTATACCGTTTAGTCGCATGTCAAGACGTCGTGCTCATGTTTCAAGTTTCAGATTTTTGTCATCTGTGACAAGTTGATATCTAATAACACTAGATTGACGTGTTGTTGCTGGCAGTTTGGTCGTCACAGTCGTCTGGATCGTACACATCATTATTTATATGTTGATCAACCCCCCTGTCAGCCCGTTCTTGAACTCCTTCTTTGTGAAACTGGACAACGCCTGGGGTGAGTTATTGGATTCTGTTTGTTTTTCAGCATCAGGGTTCTCTCGCTGTCGTGGGCAGTCTTGTGGTCAAAATTGTTTGCTATAGCGGCTTGCTTGGAAATATCTCACAACTTGGTTCGAGTTGGTCCTATTCGAAATGAAATTGCCCATCTTCACAATCATTTAGCCAAGTTTTGATAGGTTTCTCGTCCTCCTGTGAATGCTTTCGTGGGTGCTGTCGGACGGCCTCAGCAGAGTACTTTGACCTGAACACTTCTAACTGCAACGGGGTCTTTTTTGGCAGGTTTGCTTGGAACAACAGCTTTCGCGTTTTTCTGCGTCTACTTGATTCTTGCAGTCATATCGGGAGAGATGCACGTTGGTCTTAACTTTTTCGTTATCACCATTCATCCTATGAAGTAAGTATCCTTTGCACATATCTGTTATCGTCATGGCTCGCACATTCTTTTTACGAAGGAGAGGTCAAGCCTTTCGGATGCTGCTAATGGTTTTTCTGCGGCTCGTGCATCCTAAACTAGTCTTGACTGACACCTCCTTTCGCACGAATTTCAGGTGGGGTGGCACTCTGATGAACTCTTTCCTCTTCAATGTCGGGTTGATTCTTCTCTGCTCCATCAGGTACTTCATCAGTAAAACACAAGCAACGTCAAGTGACTCTGTGTTCCCATGTCTGTGTGGCTGCCTTGTTTCAGTTGTATAGACTTTAGTTTTGAAACGTGTCCCCTGTACCGTGCAGTGTGATCCAGTTCTGCGCAAAGGCATTTGCAATTTACGCTCAGGCGACAGCTGTGCAAGAAATTTTTGGCAACAACCTCGAAGCTCTTCGTGGAATTAAGTACCTTTTCAGGTAATTGCACAGCTCTGCGACTTGGGGACCTGCACATGTATATCGCGACCTCTTGAGTCCGATTATAGGTCATCATTATCACTTGCAAGGATATGTGCTATGGTCGGGCAAAAGGTTAATAACGGTTGTGACGTATACTGATCTTTGCAGGTACAACATTTTCCAAATTGCGTTCGTGATCTTCGCCTTGCTCACAACCGTCTATTACTTGACTTTCGTAAGTTGATTCTACTCTCTTGTGCCTCCTCCACCTTCTCATCGACTTCTCTATAGTCTGGAATTAAGCACGAGTTTGAACATGTACACATTCTCCTTGTGACCCGTGTCCTTCAGGCTGAGCCAACAACTTTCAGACCCAAAATCGAGAAATCTCGCAGCTAGGTTGTGAACTGTTCGTTTTTCTCGGTGTTCATAGAAGATTCCGGCTGTTTTTCCTGACAGTTTGTGACTCTACTTGGTTTTGCGTACACAGGGCTTCAGGAAAAAGCAAAGAAAGGGCAAGTTCCAGCTCGTGTGAGTAACGACCACCTGACAATATGTATTTATGTACATGGCACTTTTCTCCATCATGCGCCGACCTGCAGCTTATTACTTTGTGAATCGAGGCCAGGTCAAAATAGTGTGGCTGCTATTGAACGGTGGGCTGTATTGTTGTCATACGAGGAATATTGATTTAGAAACAGGTGATATTTTCAGCTACTTAGGAAATTTCTCATTTCAGGCTGGCTTCAGTAGTGATAGAATTAAATTAGGGCATTTGATTGTATGCCAACTACGATGTTTCTAATTTTAGGTTGCACAGTTGAGAAGGTTGATCATCATCTTCTACCTCTTGACGAGGGCATGCTAGCCCGCATACCCTATCGATTCTTTGCCAGATGGGGTTTCTTTACCAGTGTTATGGAAGAGACTTCATGTTTAATTGAACAGACTGTATTTTTTGAGCCTGCAATAATTGCTCAAGGTGACAAACTTAACTCAACTGTATGTAGTGTATGTGGTCGTTTCGTAAGTTTGATATGTCACATGATTTGTTCCCATCGAGTGCGACTTGCAAGAACGCTTCAACGGAGAACCATCCCTTCGTCGACCCTGCCAGTTTCCAAATCATGTTGTGGTGATTAGGGTGTGGCATGCCATGTTCGGATGTTAAAAACACGGGACTTTTCACATTGTCCCCATGCTCCTGATATAAGGGACCACTGGACTACTATCCAACTATAAGATCTCCATTGTCCTGGAATTAAGAACGTTCCAAATAACCTTGTGACTACTACGACTTCGATTTTCACAATCCAGCCTTTTGTCACCTGTGGAAGGATGGGAAAATACACAACGTGCGTCACATAACCGTGCCGTTGGACTTTTAAGTATTAAATGTGTACTAAATGTAATTATTTCGTGGGTCAGTAGAAGGATAGTTACCCTAACAAACAAGTCTCCAGCTTGTTTGTTATTTAGGTATGTAGCAAATCAATCTTTATTGAAACCCCATCAAGATAAAACACCAGCAAGAGGAAAGTGGAGGGAAGAATATGGTGTAGTGGAACCTAGGTAGAAAGCAAACCAAGCGTGTCACTCTTTCACACCATCTGATTTTCTCCGATGTAAATCATGGAGTGTCTCTAGTATTACTTGCGATAACAATTGACATAATCAAGCAATTACTGTCGGCATTTTCCCCAAAACTATTAAGTTTCAAGTGCGGACAAATCAGGGAGTCTTTGTCTAACAAGCCGAAAACCTGAATCCTCATACTGATCTATACAAGATGCTGAAGAAGTCGATGAAGGAGTTGCAAACAGAGGAATTTGTTGCTACACAGAATCTCCGTCGAAATTGTGTTTTGAGAATTTTCGTCCTTTTTGATAGTAACCACGCTTTATTCAGGCAATCGATGCTGAAGATAATACAAGAGGAAGGGGAACGTCTAAAGTAATTGGGTCAGGCAACGAAAGTGGGCCGATACGTCAACCAATAAGAGCGTCTTTAAACACAAGGACTAGCCAACAGTGACATCGTGGGATGGATAATTGATGAGATATAATAAGTGATATTCGCTTCGTTACACATTAAAAACTAATCTCCACAAATCAGTTCTCGTTCTCTTCGATTTGGTGCTATGGAATTGTTGGCCATTGATAGCGAGACAAAAGTTTTGTTCTTTTGCTTCTTCGCTTTCATCGTTCCTCAACATAATCATCCAGCATGAAAACCGGATACAAGTAAATGTCACGGTATTGATGTGGCATCTGGTAGTCAGTGCAGAAAACACTCGGAACTAACAACTTTGCAAAGAATTGAATTAAGTTAGAAAAGAGCCACCATCTCTGAGGTCGATCAGTTGAAGCATTGGATCAAACAGCTCATGCCAAATTACTCTGTTGGAAACTTGTGCTTCAGTAAACACAAATTTTGAAAAAAAGCGGAACCTGCTATACACGAGTTAGGGTGGCGAACCATCACTATCTTGAGAGATTCATTGGGATCTCGATGATGGTAAGATCATCCAGGGAACAACCATCCAATTGGCAGCTATAACTGATCATAATTTATTGAATTGATTCTGAACAGTAGTCACTCCCAATAAACCAACGTTTGAGATTGATAACAAAGAAATGAGATCAAAACCCCATCAAGGTTTACGGAGAAAAGGGCTAGCTCAAGTATCACAAGGACAAATATCTTCTCTAGAACCAGAGAAATATGAAAGTAACAAACTTATTGCACGATGAAACTCAAATTAGAGCAAACTCACAATAAATGAGCTCTATGTATGTGGTTCACCTTCCTGATATTACAGTCGAGAGAACATAATGCTTAACTATATTTTCAAGAACACAAATCTTAACTGAAAATACCCTAATTTAGTTCAGAGATATTCTTCCAAAGCTTTTATACGAGGAACTTACTTGATGGGACCCATGTAAAACAATTGACGAGACCCTAAACCATTCATATTACCCTGTGGACCCAGCACCCACGTCACCTGCGAGTTCTTGTATTGAGAGTTCAACCGTAGATTTCAGTTCGTTGTAGAAGGGAGCTCGGAATGGGGGTCAAATGCAAGATAGCCCCTAACTCAGATGGGAAAGTAGTGGATTTTTGCTAAACCCAAACTAAAACTCTGTTGAGAGCTGCACTTTTGAAATCGAAGACACACATTATAAAAACACAAGTATTACAAGATGACTGTAGGACGTCAAAGTGGTCCCATGGGGTAAAATAAACGTATAATTTTTTGCTCGTCTCGTCAAATTTTTTGCTGCACCATCAAGTAATTCTCTCTTTTTATATAGAGGTTACAATCTTAATTCCACAATTTAATTAACTAAAGTCAATCAACATCTATAATAAATTCTTATATTATGCTCCATAGTATAATATCTCCGCTGAAACTTCAAATAATATCTTTGATCTATACAGCTAAATTGAATATATGGTTTATTTTGATTAACTCATCTTCTTATCACAAACAACATATGAGTGTAATTTGATGTTAGTCTGATTCACTTTTTAATTCATAATGAGACTTATATTTAAATTTGATGCGCTTTGAAAATTTATATGAAGATATATTCTATCATGTTTTAATTGAATCTTAGTGATAAGTCTGTTAATTCAAGTAGCATATTATTAAATCTGCTGCTAATACAAATTCAATTCTTGTAATTTATTTCTTTAATGCAAAGCAATATTTTAACTAATGCAACCACCTTCAAATGTAAACAAATATTCAATTATGAAATTTCATTGAGTGAATTAACTTTTTTTGTAAATACTAAGCTAAACTATTTAGTGAAATTATAAAGAATCAAAATCAATTGTGTTCAATTTTTACTTACATAACAAAAGAATAATGAATGAAATTCTTGATGTCATTTATAAGTAACTCAATATGGATGACATGCTTGTTACAACTAGACCAAATATAACATAGATAGTTTCAAAGCTATATTGAGTGTTGAGGTTTAAATAAAGATTCTTGATTTAACAAACAAATATTTACGGTAGAAATTCAAAGTAAATTGAAGGATAAAAAATAGTATTTTTATTCTATGAATATGCCTGAGATATTTGAGATTAAAAAAAAAATCCAAATTTATTATTATAGACTTCATATTATGCTCCAAGAAAAAAAAATAGCCTTCATGAAATCATGTGTCTACTTACTTTTGAAAAGCCGCAATTTAACATACCGCAAAACGAAACCCTCAAATCTGAGAGCGCTTGTAAGATTTTATTCCGTTCTTCAAAATAGTTCAATGAGCTGCTAAAATAAATAAATCAGATCAGTGAAGACTTCGATAAAATACTAGATATATGAGTCCGATGTGAAAATATAAGTCTAGGATCCCCAAAATATGGATTCACTCAAATTGCTCGATGGTGTCGAGGTTAGGTACATGTGGAACCAAAATTGCAGAAAAAAGAGAATTCATTCTTGACTTCGGGCAAAGCAACCTCACCTTGTGAAAAAATCCTCTCTTAACCTCAACCTACTTTCTGCTCTACAGACTCTAAAAGTCATACAACCGTAGTCATCATCATTGGGAAGGCCGTCTAAAAAGAGCACATCTGTTAAAAGTAAAGGGCCCCTAAAAGAGAGAGAACCATAGAGCAGCTAAAGCTTTTATAACCTAGTCTTGCACCTCCTCCGCAGTGCCCTTTGGTTGGACTGGCTGGGATTCATGGTAGAAACATTTGGATTCACCTCAATGTGTGCTACAGGTTTTTAGCAAGATAAAATCCGATGTTGAGATTTCAGGTTTTTCTATGATCATGCAACTGGAACATCTGTCGATAGATATATGGAGAAGGACAAGATGACCTCCATCTCTCTCGTAGACTAGCACAATAATCAAACCAACCATATTCCTCTTCTTACAATTTTAGAACTGGCAGTTGAATTGGCAGAATTCGTTCCCATGTTTCGTGAACCAACCAGTGTTAGATTCTAGCACATCTGATGCGAGTCAAAAGCTACTTGATTTGGTTACTTCAGGAGAGGACACATGCAAATCCTCAGATTTGAAGTAACTCGAGTATCATCAACAGCTAAAATAGCGACTCCAGGATGTCTGAACAGGACTTGTGGTCGATAAATAAATTCTCCACTCCCCAATCGCAACCTGTTGTAATTTCACAGTGCACAGACTGTAGTGCGAAATGGGGACATCGAATCACCTCTTGGCCGAGAAGAAGTGGAGACTTTGTCCGAGGCACTTTTCTTACCAGTCCACGAGTCTCCTCGGCAGCACATCACTGGTGACGTCGAGTCTGAAACAGAAGGCTCTGAACACATGTACAATATCAATATCGGCGGCCCACTTTACAAAGTCACCACACATGTTTCACGCAGTACACGTCAAGAGCAGACGAGGGAATCAGAAGAATAGTAAAATGAATGGGAAGACACATCAATGCTTGTTACACAGCAGCGGCGGCCGTGAGAGTGGATCGATCGTCATACTGTACTGTACTGCATCAACTACCGGATTCATTCGGTCGATCGAACGTACGGTACGGTGCTTCCTCGTGTCAGTCGATGTTCTGATATGGAGCAAGCATCTCGGACCGAGGACTCTGGCCATAGGATTTCTGATCGAAGTGCCTGTGGTCACAAGTTCGGAGTTTTGTCACGCAGCGCAGCCAGATCGTCAGCTAATCGTGGGCATGGACGAGACACGAGGTCGGCAGCTGACCACCGTGAGCTTAATCCCACCGCCAACTTGCCACCGATTCAGTATAAAAAAAACTTGACCGAGCTTAATTCGAAGCTTCTTCCTCCGATTGCTCTGTTTTCATCGAGTGAAGGATGATTAACAAGTTGACAACTGTGTTGTCCTGAAATTCAGGCACCCTTCCAAAACACCTCGTCGGTACGTGAATTGTTGAACAAGTTGTTCATGAGTTACTCTTAAGCCCTTTAGCCACCTGGCGCTCCTTTGATGGTATTACTCTTGAGCTCTGTAATGTCCTGGTAGATCCTTTTATAGCGAAAAGCAGAAGAGAATTGAGCAAATCGAAGACGTGTCGTTTGTTCGTATATTTTGGAGGAAAAAGTATTTCTGTCTACTGGTGTTGTATGCTTGTTAATTATAATAAAGCTAAGACTTTAAATGATACTGTCAGCATAAAGTTAGGTTCTTCATATTGTATCGTCATCTTATATTTTTTAAGTTGTTTTTTTTTAAGAGTGCTCGTGCCATATATGATAATAATATTTTACTTTATTTTTTTGTGTCGGAACATATTGTTTTAAATAACTGCTCGAACACTGTGATGTTCCGCATGGTGCATACATTCGTGTTCATTGCGTTCGTAATGCAAAGATTTAAATTGCTTGCATGGATTGTCATTCAATGTCCAATATGTCAGAAAATGACAAAATACCAGGCGAAAGTTCCAAAGATAAAGTGAAGTCAACACAAAAATTAGCACACGGAGTTGCAAGAGTGAATAAACTCATATAAACACATGTCACTCATTGTGTAAAAGATATATGCATGTGTCATTCACACATCTTGTCAATCAAGAACTGAAATATAATACTTAAAAGTATGGCAACATGGCATTACGTTGTACAAGGTCAAAATGGCAACATGGCGCTGGTTTCCAGTAGTATCTCAATGGAATATGCATGATCTAAAATATCAGAATAACAAATCTAAGTCCAATTTTGTGCGTGCAACGTTAACATATGAAGAAGCACTACCTCATTTAATTGAAACTTGTTGGAATGTGCAAACTTGTGCACTTTACTGAACAATATATACTGAATAGTTTAAATAGGCTATAAAATAGCCAAAGAGAATGAGAACTTATTCCTCCCTCTATAGAAGTCTCCAAGACACTTTCTCACAAACATGTCAAAATCTACCTCCAAGGAAGAGAAGCAAAGAGATGGAGTAGAGTTCTAGAACAAACAATGTAAAAATAAGTTAAAAAGAGAGAGATAAAAGCTTATGTTGTACAATCAAGTTCGAGACATATTATTAGTTCATTATAAATTATAGAAATCTATTAAGCATTTGCAACTCACAAGATAAAAATCCTAACTAGCCACTAATTGGTGTGAATGTTTCTTCCTGAATGTATGTAATTAATTCCCCTTTTACATGAAACTGAAAAAGATGTATGAATCCCTACCAAATCTCATACCACGTATTTGAAGGCACATGGTTTGATGACGTTATTTGAAATCTTTCTATCAAAACTTGTGAAACATAGCATGAGCGCAAGTGAAAGAGAAGATGAGTAGAGAAAGTAAATACATAAATGTATTTGACACAATTCGTTTGGTTATGCGTGATTTATATGACTTTTTATGTATTATTATATAATGATGGATTGCCCAAAATAAGTCGATTTATCAAACTAAGAAACGACTGGTATCGCAGGAAAAAAACAGGCGCGGAGCAGAGCAATGACCGTGTAGAACACAATGTGGTTTCCAAAAAATGTAATATTGAAGAAAAATACACCAAATGCCTCTTGTCAATCCACTAAAAAAACATCTACATACAATGGTAGATTTCGCGGACAAACGGATTCATTAACCCCTTAAGGAGCTCCTTCAAAAGTTGTTGTGTCTATTTTCTTTCTATATCGTTTTTAACAAAAGGATCGAATCAAAACGATTTCTTCATATTAGACAACTAGTACAATGTCTAAATGTACTAGTTGTCTACAAACCCTACAATGCTTGGGTCAAATTGTGTACAATATGGAGTAAAAGTGAAGTCAGGATAAAGCTAAGCACATGAGAAGAATTCCAAGGATATATCATTAAGGAGTTACAATTAGAGTGTTTGAGAGTGGGATGAAATGGGATAAAAACGATGAAAAACTTGTAATGGGGTAAAATGGAAGTTCCTGTAGCATTATAGCGTGTAGTAAATGAAGACTTTACAAAACATCTCGAATATTCAAACAATTGAGAAAAGCTTATCCATCTGGCATGTGCAAGGAGTCCGGGCCAATAATACCTTACAAATCTCAGCATGCCAATGGCTTCACAGGATCATAGCCAATCTTGCTCCCGGCACCAATGAGGGGTCGTGGGACCCACCGTGAGAAAGTCGGCCTCTTTTCGCACTATTCTGCTCTGGAATGTGGCTTCCATCGGACACGAAAATATTCCCATTTGTGGCATGTAAACGTTTTTCGCATGATCTTCTCCTTTCCTTTGTCCATCACGTGGAAAATCCTCTCATCATGCTGCGCAATCACATTATAACACTACACCTTGAACTGCTATCTTTGCCCTACTGTTTTGGTTTCGTATTCCTCGGGGTTATTTTTCACGTATGATTAAAAATGATTATTTTAGTTGGTGAACGAAATGAAAAAATCCGGATGAGAACAAAACGCAATCGTTGGAGTTGAATTACAAGAACCTCCCCACCAATGGGTGGGTCATTGGCGAAGGCCAGTTTTGTCTCCAGAAGGCAGGGATCGACATGACCTTCAAATATTTTACACCAAAGTTGGCTGCGTCAATAATTATGTGTCTGTACACACAATTATTGACCCAACCCTCAGCCTGGTGTGAAAGACTTAGAATAAGGCTCAGAGGTTTAAGTTTTGAGTCGCCTTGAATTCTTTGAGACAAGTTGAGACGATTTTAACGGAGAAAATCCATAAACTGTTCTCACACCATAAATATAGATGGTTCATTCTCCAAAAAATATGCTTGTATCTATTGTGTTAAGAGAGATAGACGAAATATTTAAAGGTAATAATTCAGAACCATATGTCAGAACACAACCTTGATGGAGGATTTTCGGAGTGAACAATCATAAACGTCCCTTCCAATACAAATACCAAGATCGCACCGAAATCATGTGATTTATCAACGTCACATGTTTGTATTTGTGTACATGAGAAAAAATCGCGTCACTGGAAGCCGAAATTGGCTGAAACTTCCTTGCTTAGGTTGCATTGTCTGCTACATGAACATGTTGGATAAATGTGAGAAAAATTCAGTGGGACGCTTTAATACATTTTTTTATATGAGTACCAATGCATCAGAACACAATATATGAGCGCATGTTGAGTGACCCTCAGGCGAAGCTGGAAGAACTTCCTCGCACCGTTCCACACATTCTCCTTAATCGAATCGTGAGAGCCCACATGCTCATCGGACGCTACTCGTAAAAATCTCCACAGACCTTTCTGGCGGACGGTGAGGAAGGTACATTCCATGGTGCAGGAAAATGACGATTTTCTAGTTCAGGTAGTTCGGGTCTTTTTATAGCCCAGGGCGAGATATTTTGTGGACGTGGTTGAAAGGCAATCGGAGAATATCTTCCATTCGAAGGAGTGGAATTCAGGGAAACGGTGGACGGTTCTACAACACTCAACACTCAACGACCGTAGCCCAAGAGGAACCAGACTTCAGGCTCAAGTTCTGTATCACGCCGTGTATTCAGAGTCTGTATGTAGAACGAATAGTACATTCCTGGTTGTGATCCCCACGACCATCGTGCTGCAGCTGCGTCGTCACAACGCATCAACTTGCACGGTGGTGGGAATTTGGACCGAATGCTTGTTCTTCGCACCATCGCTCGCTCCGTCGACATGATAGTTTTACGGGGATTTTACTTCAATGCATCTCATGGTTACACGACTGTATGATTGGTGGAGAATATTGTATCGAGCAGACTGAATGTTGGCCACTAACGAAATGCGCGATGCAACGGGTGACCTCCAGAATGCAGTACAAATAATATCCACAAGTGGAATCATTGCTCTGGACTGACAGTATTAAACAGGTCAGAATGCACTTGAGGGTTGATCTTGACCATGCCTTTTGGAAGGTAAGATGCATGGCTTCGAAGGTGAAGTTCCAGCTCCCCATGTAGACAAAGGTTGAAGTCCTCGAGAAAGTTCTCCAATCACTGCAAAGTCATTCACGCCTGAACCAGAACTACACTCCGGGTTTTGCCTTTGGACATTCATGCCAAGTTACCGATGTTGCCTACCTCAGAAAGCCTTGGAAAAGATATTACATCCGTGTCGTCATTCCAGGTTCAATGTCTCATCACCGATGTATACAGGATCCAATCGCAAGATTCTGTAGATGTGCAAACAAATTCATCCAAATTCTTTAGTGAGATAAATGTTTCATGTCTTTAAACATTTATCCACTCTTCCAGTATCCGTGAATATGAGATCTGTACTTGTTTAGGAGTTTAGGTTCTTGATGGACGATAAATTCTTATACATGCTACTGATAGTGTCCTTTGGACACTATCAGTAGCATGTATAAGAATTTGAATATATAACCATGAGAAAACGATAAGACAAAAGTATTAATAGCACACCAAGGGTTAGGTCCCGAGATGTAAACTATCAATCATAACATTAACAAACCGAAATTTTATAGATTTATTGATATACTAATCACTAGAGTAGATTATCCTATCATCTAACATGATTCTTTTCAGATTCTTCTCATATGTATAGCCTTCATCAATGGTATTTAGAAGATATATCACTGGTTTTTACAATATTATCTATAGTGAAATATACTATAGACTAGAGAAAGAGGTATATTGTGAAATTTAACATCAATTTATAAAATATAATCTTTCCTTAACGAACATGTTGAAATTTTCATTTATAGCACGTTAGAACCTTAATACTTCGGGAACTAGATATACGTTCCTAAACTTGAAGAATCTGGCCTTGCCTTCACGCTCGTCGCCCAATTTAGATCAGGAAGGTGAGTATCCATAAATAAAAGAAATACTCGAATCATTACATCTTCAGGCTTGACTCGAACCCTATAACCCAGAAATATATTAACTTAAGGTATATCCAAATATCACGAAAATATCAACAGGAACTCGTCAAAGGTTAAAAAATTCAGTTGACAAATCGACCTACGTTCTGAACCTTTGACCAAAGGAGAAGTCCTTTACTTAGCAGCGGTGGTAGCAATGTTGCCCGACTGCAATCGATGCATGTGACAATCGTCATCGCATATAAACTTTTATGAAAGCCTTGTTGAGGGAAAATTCTCCTCTCCGTCAAACCTCAATACGTTCATTTCAGTCCAGGGCACTTATTGGGATGTGTGGTAAATGGCTTCCCCTGATCGACGAGGCCGAGACCCATTCAATTACAATAATTAAATTGCATCTGAGCCTAGATCCTTGCCCACCAGGAGCACCTATAATTAAATAGGCTCTAACCGCTTCGACATGCTTATCCGAAGGCAAATTCGAAACATGGAACATGAGTTCGCATGACCGAGCTGAATTTTGTTCGCTTGCTTTGGGTGCATGACACGGTTCTGCGTCCCCGCGAGCACATGCTCACGCCTCCCCTCCCCTTTCTCTGATCGATCGAAACGTGTGCAGGACAAGCGTTCTAGTTCAGCTACGAGGCCCATGGTCGGCACCCGAATTATTAAACGAAATGAGAGCAGTGGGGGCAGGCAGCTGCTCGGTTGCTGGGATCGAGGCTCAAAATACTAGCAGCGTTGAAATGGGCCACGCCATGACAAATCCAGCCAGCAGGCGTGCAGGCACAGGGTCAGTCAGTCAGTCAGTCAGTCGGCCGAGGCTGCCATAGCCCATGGCTCGTCCTCTGAATGGTCTCATGAGATTCGCAGACATCGGACGGCGAGCTCGAATCAGCTCGAAGGGCCCTAGGACTGCAGAGTGAGGTGAGGGCTTGACTGCGGTGGCCCCGCGAGCGACCACGTGCGCCATGGGAGCAACTGCGCAGTCGCTCGACCCTTTGTCCTCTGGTCTCCGCGTGTGTCCGTGCCGTCCCCTCGGCCCCCTTGAAGAAGGCAGCGGCAGCCGCAGCAGTCCCCGCCGAGGAAGAGAGAGCGCGAGATCTCCTGTCCGCGGAACGTCCTCTGGAGGCCCTCCCCACCACCACCACGGGCTCGTTCTCTCTCGCTCGCTCGCTCGCTCGCTCGAGCATTAAATCGCAGCGGCCGCTGCGTCCGACTCCGCGCCCTGGCCCCCTTCTTCTCTCCGTGGCCTCTGCTCTGCTCGGCTCGCTGCGCTCCGTCCCTGGCCTGCGGGATTGGGCGTGTGAGGTGTGGAAGCGAGAGGCGAGAGAGAGAGAGGTTGAGGTTGAGGTTGAGAGGCGTAAGCCGGTGCGATCTTCGTAGATAAGGGAGTGCGAATCGGGCGGGCATTGCTTAACAGTCTTGCCCTGCACTTGTGCTCGGAGGATTCCCGCACCGAGCTTTAGTTCTGAATCGAGGAGGAAGAGAAGGGGAGGGGCAGGGGAAGGGGAAGGGGAAGGGGAATCGTAGCAGGGCCGGGCCCCGATGGCGGGCACCATGTTGGCTCAGGGCGGGAGGATGTCGGTGTCGTGCGCAGCGCCGGCTGGAGGAGTGGCTCTGCCCAGTTTGCGGTCGTCGAAATTCGGCGGTGATGTGTCGGCGTTTCGGTGCAGAAATGTTGCCAAAGGCATGAAGCTGAAGCAGCAGGTTGTGCGTCCCGTGGGCTTGTTCCCATCGTCCGAGGATGGGTTCGGGTTTCTGAAGCGCTTCCAGAGGCCGAGGACCGTGGAGGCCAATGTGGCGGTGCCCACTCGAACCTTGGTCATGCCGGAGGAGAAAGAGGACGACAGCTTCGACGCCTCTGCCCCTCCTCCCTTCACCCTCAGCGACATCAGGGCCGCAATTCCCAAGCATTGCTGGGAGAAGAATGTCTGGAAGTCCATGAGCTACGTCGTCAGGGATGTGGCCATCGTGTTCGGATTGGCAGCAGGTGCTGCGTACCTCAACAACTGGTTCGTCTGGCCGCTTTACTGGTTCGCTCAGGGCACGATGTTCTGGGCTCTCTTCGTCCTGGGCCATGACTGCGGGCACGGCAGCTTCTCCAACAACAAGGCGCTGAACAGCTTCGTCGGTCACCTTGCTCACTCGTCCATCCTCGTTCCCTTCCACGGCTGGAGAATCAGCCACCGGACTCACCACCAAAATCACGGTCACGTTGAGAACGACGAATCATGGCACCCACTGACAGAGAAAATGTACAGGGACCTCGATGGGGGAAGCAGGACAGGGCGCCTCACCCTTCCGTGGGCCATGTTCGCATACCCCTTCTACTTGTGGGGCCGCAGCCCAGGCAAGGAAGGCTCGCACTACGATCCCAAGAGCGACCTCTTCGTCCCGAGCGAGAAGAATGAAGTCCTGACCTCCACGGCCTGCTGGACGGCGATGGTGGCTCTGCTTCTAGGATTGACCGTGGCCGCCGGGCCGATGTGGATGCTGAAGCTGTATGTCGTGCCTTATTGGTTGAATGTGGTGTGGCTGGACGTGGTGACGTACTTGCATCATCACGGCTATGACAAGAAGGTGCCCTGGTACAGAGGCGAGGAATGGAACTACATGAGGGGTGGACTGTCGACGATCGACCGCGATTACGGTATCTTCAACAACATTCACCACGACATCGGCACCCACGTCGTCCACCACTTGTTCCCTCAGATTCCCCACTACAATCTGATCGAAGCCACCGAAGCTGTGAAGCCCGTCCTCGGGAAATACTACAGGGAGCCTGCCAAATCCCCGGGACCTTTCCCCACGCACCTTTTTTCTACCCTGTTGAAGAGTTTCGAAGAAGACCACTATGTAAAGGACGAAGGCAATGTTGTGTTCTACCAGAACGACCCTCCCCAATAAGCTGCGCCACCCTGAGGACTCGTGCTCTCCACGGGTTGGGCCATGTCAAACTTGGGCAGTATCGAGAAATGGCGTATTATGCGTTTGATGAGCACCCATTGTGCATCTGGTATTGTACAGGAGACCGAAAGCCATTTTTACGAGTATGGTACAGGTGGCTGAGCTCCTCAGGAGTTGTTCTTCTTTGTCGGAGTATATTCAAGCGCACATGTCTTTTGCTGTCATTGCTGTCTATGCGGGAAGCTGTACTGAGGAATTTGTCGATCACCAGCCCGGTGAAAGAGGGGGCGTCTCGAGGATTGGACGAGCGACGAAACACTTTCCATGGTTCTCATTGTTCGTTGTAAATGCACTGTCGGGAAGAAAGTTGTTTTAGCGAGAGTAGAAAGTGCGAAGGTGGTCTTGCCATTGTAGGTTTTCGAAATTGATGATTTATCTCTGCGCTTTGCAGAAATTGTCTTCTGATCTTCTCTCGTCATCAGAAATTCTTAGGCCATGATTGTGGAGGAGCCCTGTTTATCTTTGTCATAGAGTATCTCTGGGAGGAGAATTACGTCCTTCACAGCCGTAACTAGGATTAGGTAGGTTGCAAGCTGGTGAATTTCAGCTGAAGTGATGCAGCTTTTTCATTTAATGGAGATAGGGTAGCTCTGGCAGCACTGGTTCCGAAGGGGGCTGGAAAGGACCGGAAGGGTTACCCTCTCCAGCTGTATCATGTATTATAAAGACTAAATTGGCAATCTGAGGCCAGTCTCTATTTTTTCCGAAACTGCCTCTCTCTGAGAACCCGATTCTGTTGTTTATCCATGGTGTGGTTAAAATGGACATTTTTTAGAAATATTAACCATCCCTGTCACACTGATAGACGAATGAAATTGCTCGTCCGAATCAACGCCGTCTTGGTGTAAATGTTGCTTGTCCCATTACAGGTAGTACTGGCGGTACACATGTAACACGTGACATGGCGAAGTAAGAAATAATCAGTAAGTCTTCAGTTGGAGGGTTTGACGTTCTAAAACTGTGTATTCTACGGTTTTCGTTTTCTTTAACATGTCACGAAAAATATTCTCGTAAATCTTTACATCCACACCCCTGGTTGGACAAAATGCAGATGAGTGCAGAAAGCCTGCTGTAACACTCTTTAACGAGTCGAACGTGAAAACAAGGGGAAAAAAAAGAAGCAGATACTTCTATGCAAGCACATAGCCAATACGGCCAGGAGAGAGAAAACAATTACTCGACGATTATCCCGCATAGTCTACCAAAACATAAATTTTCCGTCCTTCCGACCCTAGCCGGAAACATTCATGAGCATCATATCCGACCGGTTAATTAAATGCATACAACCCTGAGGAAATCATCCCATAAATGTCACAAATCAGAGTCATACTCACCATGTTCTTATTTGCCATGCTTGACTGCGAGCAACACTACAGCTAAATCCATTCTACTTCAACGCTGTGTTGACTGTTGTCAGTTAAGCTGAATTTGGACTGTTACTTAAAATGCATTCCAACATGAAAATGTCACAGGTTAGATCTTTCAAAATGTGCGTGCAACGCTTCGAGCTTGAGAGCAATTGTATGTAACACCTCACTAACACCTCGTTGATGTGTTACACTCAAAAAAGAAAACAACTTCTGGTATCAATCATTGGAATTCAGTTCTCTTTGATTATTTAGGTACATGGCAGAAGTGTTAGGCATATTGAATCTCTAGTTATGAAGCGAATCAGTTAGGGTGATGTATCATGCTGGAACCTTCGCTAAGAGATGCTGAATTTGGAATTCACTTCAGGATACAGGAACTGGTGATGGAGTCCATAATGATATAGAGAAATCATGAAATTCACTCAAGCGTAATTCAAAAGAAATCTATGTCACTGTCCAATGTCATGTAAGTATGTATGAATTTTTTTTTTCTATGCATAATTGACAAAAAGTAGATCGTAAGCTTATAACACATAGAATTACACATGTCATCTCACCATTTTCTTAGATGTTAAAGCTACGTGGATATATTAGACTCATAGACTGTAATAAAAGTATTTACTGCGAATAACTGATTCTGCAGCTTATGCCGATATGTACTTGTTCTGATATGTAGAACAAAGATTCATAGTATCTCATACTAGTGATAGACTGTAACTGAAATACGATTACAACGAGTACATCAAGAAAGTCTCACGCATCAATTATCTTTGGAAGATGAAAGAGTGACAAGTGGAGTAGACCTGACCTTCAGTAGTTTTCAAAGTAGAATTTCTTGTGAGGGAATCAACTTATATATCCAAAACCATAGGAAGATACCATGGATTAGGATGCAGTTTTAACTAGCTACAATATCGTGAATAGAAATACGTGAAATATTGATATAGTTACTTTCCACAAAGTTTTCTTTTACATATATTTATTTGCAAAGCATATTATCAACCTGATGTAAATTGTAACTTCTTACAAATATATTATTGTTGAATATAAAACTCAGACCTTTTCAATTAATTTCATGATTTATTTATTTGATTGCAGAAACTTATCTTTTGTATCTAACACGTTTACGTGCACATTACTTTATCTAGAAGATTCTTTGATTTATCATTTATGAAATGATTTCCAATCTTGTCAAACTAGGAATGATTTTCATGTTTGTTATATCGAGTTTTTAATTTCAATTAACTTATCGAAATCATTGTAAACAAAACAAAACACATTAAATCAAAATAAAATTAATTTCTTTCTTTGTGTATTTGATTATAGGTGTAAACGAATTTATAAGTACTTCCCATCATGTTTTGAAGTCTATACCTACGTAACAACCGTTCCATTCGCTTCATCCAAAAAGTTTATAGTGAACAAAGTCCCAAAGTAGGAACCCACTGAACAGCTGATGAGGCTCACGGTTGAGACCTGATGTAGTCGGTTGATTCAGATCTGGGGTCGAAGAGACTTATCTAAGAGTGCTTACTTGAATACTTCCGACTGCTGTTGGCCGGCCTACTCAAACAATATGTCCATTGAGTGGTAACCTACTCTTCAATTTCCATAGTTTAGACTCATCAGAATACTACATATAGCTTCAAAATGTGCAGTCATTCTGCTCTGTTCTGTGTGAATTGCATCTACAGCTGAAGCGAAGTATTGTGTCCCGATTCCGAACTCCAAACGTCAGCCGTCAAGCTGTTCGATGCATGAGATCTATAACCGACATGAAGGAGAAGTCAACTTGCATCAGCTGGTAGAAGCGCAGGGCCAGTACAACAGGTCGTTCGAAGTGTGGCAGAGAGTTGTATTCGCTTTGTGGCTTTGATAACCGACATGATTATGAAGCAGTTCCTCAACATCTTTCTTAATGAGCAAAATCTCGACATATGGGGTAGAAATCGAGGATCTTGGCTTGAATGAGCCAGAAGAACCATACTTGTCACAGAAATAATATTTTAAGCATGAACTGACGATTTCAAATTCATTCTAGTTCCAGCATGTTGTCATTTTTAAGTGTACCGCAAATACCTTAGGAACAAACTGCAAGCTCCAAGAAACCAGTGGTGGACAAGACAGCTTCCATGACACACAACTATATAGTCCACAAGAACATTTCCTGATTATCTCTCTTGGCAGATTGCCGTGTTTCGTACCACACAATTGGTCATTTGCCTTCCAGGCATCAATCAGGCACATACAGGGTAAACCTCGCGAAATGAGTTCAATGACTAAGAGGACTGCAAGTTGCGCCGAACTCGTATGAGATTTGAACCCATGTGGCCATAGGAAAAGTCCATGTAGCTCTACGACACATATTGTACATCAAGGGCCAACTCTTCCAATGATGTGCTGAAGACTTCCTCCCTAAATTTTTTGAACATACTAACTGGTTCAACTCTAACATTTTACAAAAGGGAGCCCCGTGGGGCCTCAACGCAGATGCAGATTTGACAGAAAGTCTACACGATGTCTATACTAAAGCATTTCAATGGTTGTTAAACGGAACAAAAATTCCCTATTTGAAGACGGCCTGATCTCCAAGCTCTTGTCCAGCCATGCCATCTCTGACAACCTTCTTGAAGAAATCCTCCAATGTGTCTTTACCATAGCTGGGAGTTGCATCAGCATCATACTGGCCCGTTTTGGGATCCAGCACAAGCATACTTTCTGCCGCATAATATCTACCAATCTTTCCGAACTCAGCCGAATCTTCCAAATTAGGAAAAATCTTCACCAAAAAGTCCAGTACACCGATAACGAAGTCCATGATTTCGATGGGCACCTTGATGAATTTGGGCTCTTTGCCGATGACTTCATAAAGCATCGTACCTTGCTCGAGAGGAGTTAGCGCCTTGCCAGGTCCTCCGATCGGTAGTACTTGGTTGATCTTGTCCTCCTCCACGATGCAGTCGGCGATGAATGAAGCTAAATCGGCCTCACTGATAGGCTTGCATGCACTCAAAGCACCGTCCCCAAACATGACATACGGACCACCTCCCTGGACAGACTGAACTTGCCCTCCCAGGCTCTTGAAAAAGGCAGTCGGGCGCACAATGCTGTACGTGAAACCACTCCCAATCGATTGCAATTCCTCCTCGAATTTTAGTTTGGCTTTTTGAAATTCCAACAAAGGCTTTTGCACGCAAATTGCAGACAGAAGTACAAAATGCGATGCGCCGAGAGCTCGCCCTGCATCCAAGCTGTTCTTGGTGGCCTGGTAGTCGATAAGCCACGAATCCTTCACGCCTCCAGTGCGACTTGCCAAGCACGAGATCACGACGTCCACACTCGGGGTTACGCCGCGCAGAGCATTCTCCAGAGTCTTCGCGTCCGTGACTTCGGAGAAGCAGAGATTCGCACCGGGAAGTTGCTCCTGCGTTTGTTCTCTGCCGGACTTGCCTCCAATTCCACTCTTCTCCCGCGCCACGGCGATCACATTGTACCCTCTCTTCACCACCTCCTTCACCACAAACTTCCCAATGTAGCCCGTCGCCCCGACAATCACCACATTCGTGTCCTGCGGACTCTTGCTCCTAAACCCTGCAGCCTTGCTCTCCTCCGTTGGCGCATCTGGAGTCGCACTCGAGCGCACCATTCGTCTCGCAGTCAGCGGTCTCAGCGCGGGCAATCTCCTCTGAGCCGACGAGAAATCCTCGGACGTGGAAACGAAGAACGAGCTCGAGCCGAGCTTCACATTCTTAGCTGCAAACACTGAGACGGCTCTCACACCCGAAGAGGAGGAGGAGCTCACCGGGCGAGCGCTCGTCGGAGCGCAGCTGGGAGAGCGACCCAGCGCACCTGCCATGGCGAGCTCCATCGCGCCAGACGATGCTGCGCCTCGCTTCTCCTCTCGTCCTCGTGCCCGCCAAAAACGCAAAAATCCTCCCGCTCAGCTCGCGGGGGCCAGATCACCGAGCCCAATTCACTCGACACTGTCACCGCCCGAGCAGCTCCGAGCTCCAGGCGATGCTGAATCTCAGAATCCACCTGATCCTCGGGAAATCCTCGACACGAGGTCTGCGAGCGCGATCCTCGTCCTGCAGCCAATCTCCGAGCGCAGCCACCTCTCCAGAGAGCTTTTCAGCATTCGCAGTTCCTACGTGGTCGAGTCAGTCTCCTTACGTCGTAGGTTTATTTCTACCAAGTAGCGTGGTTCCCTACCACGGCGGGAGTTCCCGTGTGGGTGGAGCGGCGGGAGCGTGGGGTGGCGTCAGGGCGAAGCCAAGGGAAGGGAGGGGAAGGGAAGGGAAGGGAAGGGAGGAAGAAGGGACGGGACCACGGGGCCTGCTCTCGTCGCGCATTCTGATTTCCGATGTCGTCTGGCTTTTTGTGGATGGTGGCAGAGCTCGGGAGCTCTCTGCTGCGTCTGCGCCTCTGCGTCCACCAGAGCCATGGGTTCCGTGCGCCTCTGATTCGCGGCTTGTGTGCCGAATGCTCTTGATGGCCATGTCTTGTTAGAACGATTCGCTCCTGCACTTCTGACCGCAATCTAGCGTCGAACCTCGAACAAACGAACCTCTACCTCTGCCCCTCAAGAATTTTGCCCCGGAGCCCCCCCTTCGTGCTCTCTCCCTCCCTCTCTCCCCATCTCCCCTCTCTCTCTTTCGCTGCAATCCTAATCGGGCTCTGCTTCCAGTGCAGCCATGGCGACCGCTGTGATGGGAGTCGGCTGTGGCTGTGCTCCCGTGGCTTCCACGAGGGTCTCCTCGTCGCTCTCATCCTCTGCGTCTACGCCCGTTTCGTCCTCCCAGTTGTGCTCCGCTCCGGCTTCGAGGTATCGAGTGAAAGCTAGCAGTTCGCTCGTGCTGCACAGCGCTTTCACCTCACAGACCTGGTCTATCCAATTTTTCACTGGCGGAGGTGAGAATTCGAAGTCTCTTGCTGTTGCATTCATACCATTTCGAATTTCCTTCAATTTTCAAGTGATCGCCCTTCCGGAGTCAGCTTGAGAAGTTTGATCCCGCTGACGGTGCTATTCTCGATGACAGGGTTTATGATATCCACACGAAGTCGGAAATTGTGCGATTTGTTTCGTGTATGAATACCCTAGTTTTGATTCTTCCACACAGATTTCTGCGGTGGGCGCAAGCCCTGATCAAATTCAGAGATTTAATAGCCACTAATCCAGTTTTTGTTCCGTCTTTTCAATGTAGCCGGTAGACTGGCGCTTGCTGCCGCGGTGGCATCAGCATGCATCACGGATGGAAGGAATGGAGGTGGAGCTCTTGCAGCCCAAGCCAACATATTTGAGCGGATAGTTCGAGTTGTCAAAGTATGTACATCCTTCTGACTAGTATGCAAGGCCAATTGTTGGTTGCATGCGTTCATCTATCGTTTGGTGCCGACGTGTGGAGAAGTCGCATGGCCATTTGCTATCCATCAATTCTCTAGGTTGAAAATTCTCGCGATGAAGGCAGACACTACTTGCAAATAGGAGCAGATTGGGAACATGCAAAATGGTAAATTGAATTGAGACGGAAGCTAGCGTAAGATGAATGTTGGTACTCAAAAAAGACAGCTCGTTGTACCCACTTTGCGACTCGCGTCCAATGATTTTTCTTGTTTCTATGGGCATCAGGATCTGATAGCTTTCCAGACCAAATGATCACGGGGTAGTGGCAGATTATTACTACGTTTTTATCTTTGTAGCAAGAAGCTGTTTTGTCAAAGTTTATGAGCCTAACATTTTCCCAGTCTTTGTAGGCTTGCATCTTGCATCAATATTTCGAACTTGAAAGAATACGGTGAATTCAGTATTTTCCCAATTGGTATACGAATGCATATTGATGTGGTAGTGTGTTCTGAGATAGTCTCTTTTTATGTTTGTAGTCTTATGCAAATGCGGTTGTGAGTGCCGCGGAAGACCCTGAGAAGCTATTGGACCAGACTGTGAATGAAATGAACGAGGATCTTACGAAGATGAGACAAGCTTCAGCCCAGGTATTACTTTGCGCATGTCACCCTATTCATGACATTCATTGCAAAACCTTGGTATAGCAAGTTCTTTCTACAGAAGCGACTTTGAGTGATGTTTGTGTGAGAGTGTGTACGCCTTATTTGTTTGCATGGATGTGTATAATATTGCAACTTTTCTTTCTACGCCGTAGAGCATGTGAAAGTTCCCGGTGGTGAGAATGATATGTGTATAACCAACACCGGTTTCGGTAATAGTCACGTCCTTAAAGACGTGTATGAGTGGAAAGAAAAGAAAATTAACGTAAACCGCAATTGGTGAGTCCTTGAACAAGTTCAGGAAGAAGGAGAGAACATAAATACTTGAATGGGATCTAGTCAGATAGCAATAGCCCTTGCACGGCCTTTAAGAACGGTCAAATTGCAGGTTTTGGCCTCACAAAAGCAGTTGGAGAACAAGTACAAGGCAGCGCAGCAAACGGCAGATGACTGGTATAACTTTTTCCCTAGCTTGTTTGCCATTATGAGGTAGAGAAGTGAACAGACTGTCAGTCTTCCTTGCATTGTGCATTGCAAGAACGTACGTAGTCCTGTGGTTGTCTTTCAAATCTCTCATTACACACTTTCTCCAGGTATCGGAGAGCCAAGCTTGCCCTAGAGAAGGGTGATGAAAGTCTAGCTAAGGAGGCCCTAAAGCGAAGGAAGGACTACGAGGTATGTTCATACATCCTCTTTTCATATCTCATTAGTTCATAAAAATGTGAGGGCTGCGTTTATCTACTTTGTACGGTTGACTGCATAATCCAACTTATATGAAGGCAAGTACTTGCCTTATTATTTTCTTCATCAGGGATTTTGTTTCTACCGCTTCATTAGAATTGGCTTTCTCTCTAAGCAGTGTCTTCTGATTTCCCTACTGTCTTTTACGTAACGATAATCAATATGTTGGCATCATTGTCCTAGCGTACCAGTTGTGCGTTTGCTGTTCTTGGGTATCCTGTGTCATTTCATTTCATACGTATCAGACTTTCTCCTAGACTATGGCGGGAGTAGAGAGTTGCGGCGCAGGTGATGGTTTTGTTGATAGAGGTGTGAAGTAAATACTTTGAAATTATGAAACAAGCAAGCTAGAATTGAGAGCATCTGATAATTGTTGAGTATGTGAAACATCGCTATTTGTGGAGCTGATCTAATTAATACTTACTCTCACAGGAAAGCGCGAAAGCTCTGAAAAATCAGCTGGATCAACAAAAGGGTGTGGTCGAAAAGCTCATTTCGAACACAAGGGTAAGGAGGTTTTCTGTGTCTTTTATTCGTAGCACACTGTAAATTATATTATTCTCCTGTTATGGAGTCAAGAACCGCATCCTGGTTGGGAGGAGGTATGGACAAAAATTATCAGAAAACGTAAATCAGGTAGGATGAAGTTTGGGAATAAAGAGGATCACATGAGATTGGAGAGGTAACCTTTCATAGCTGAATTTGTCTCAATAGACAATGATATTGGAATGCCCATTTGTTAGCCAAGAAAATCTCGGCTTTCTCTTTCGAGATATAAAATGTACGACGAAGTATATGAGATGTGACAATGTGTCATTGTTACACCTAGATGTTGTCTCCCAGACTACTCGTCATCTTCTGTCAGTGCGTTTTCGAAAGGCATAGTTACTTATTATGGGGTACATGTTGTGCAGCTTCTGGAAAGCAAGATTCAGGAAGCCAAGTCCAAGAAGGACACATTGAAAGCCCGCGCCCAGTCTGCCAAGTATGAAATTACGGACTTAGTCTTCATTTATCTTGCCTTGCTAGCTCCGATTTTATCTCAAGTGGATGACTGTAGCCTCTGTAGTGTGCATGAGCCATCCTTTAACCACGAGTTTATCACATTTGTCTGATTTCTGGTGTCGCTCCGATTCCGTTTGTGAGTTTTTCTCTTCAAGTGGTGTCCAAAGCGTCTGGTAAGGCACTATGAGTGTGTATAGATTCTCAGTCTTTAACCTTTACTCACAGGACTGCGCAAAAAGTGAATGAGATGCTTGGTAACATCAACACGAGCAGTGCTCTTGCAGCTTTTGACAAGATGGAAGAGAAAGGTACCAAACTCTAATGCCTTTAATACCTTTATATGATTCTTGTAAATAGTTGAAATCTTATGTCTTTGCGGGAAGGAAGCTCAGGTAAATCTACATTGCCATAGTAAATTTACCCTAAGACGTTTGCAAATCATAATCTCGTGCTTCTCTGTGATCGCAGTGAATGCTCTGGAGGCTGAAGCTGACGCCTTGAACCAGTTAAGCACTGACGACTTGGCAGGAAAGGTAAGGCTTTTCAACACATTTCAAGATCGTCGTTCTGGATGAGAAGGATAGTTTCATTTGTCCCTGGCTATTTACTAAAATATGCAAAGTAGCTCTCATTAACAATCAATAAACATATAATGTACCTATTATCTATGTGGGTGTTTCACTCGCTCTCTACTCTTTTTTGGTTTGTTGAACAGATGTAATTTGAACTTTATGTCATCTGTATCTAGCTAGCCAGGCTCCGGTGCCAATACAGTCATCTTATCTCTTGACACTGTATATTGTCGATGTGGGTAGTTCGCACTCTTGGAAGGTAGTGACGTTGATGACGATCTGGCTGCTTTGAAGAGAGATGTTTTGGGCACTCCAGCTAAGGTATGATGTGACTTTTGGACACTTCCAACCTTTCTGAAGTTTCTGTGTGCATTGAAAGTACTCTGGTAGCGTCCGACGTTTTCCAATGCCCAAATATTTTCCTCGCAGATTTCGGGAGAATTACCTGCAGGACGCACAAGTGCGAGCAGCTCTAGCAGTAGGCCAGAGTATCCGTTCAAAGATTTCGAAATTGAGAAGGAGCTGAATGAACTACGAAGGAAGACCAACGAGCTATAATCAAAATGATTCTCGTCTGTGGTATAGAACTGCAAGTAGCGCTTAGATGGTAGTCCACTCTACCATAGTGGATGAGGAGGTGTAATGAAAAAGTCCCCTGTTGGCATGTTGCCCCACCCGAAAAGTTGTCTATCTCCATGGTATCTTTTTAGCTTGGCAAAGTTGTAGATTATTGAACTCTTAGCTTTATCCATTATGCATCGATTGATACGGAGTCAGTGCCTGGCCTCCTTATCTAGATGTGAGTTTTGGCTGTAAATGGTTTGATTCTTAGATCTTGGTAGATCTTGGTAGATCTCTACCTATCCTCGCATTGTTGATGTACCGTAAATCGAGGCAGCCTTGCACCTGCCTGTCAAAAGAGGTCTTCTTACATGTTAAAGCCAGGACTTCTGGAGATTCTGTGTGTTTTACGCTCTCATTCATTTTATGTAAGATATTTCAGGGTAAATGTGAATTTGCGCACACAACAGTCGAGATGCATGCATATATGTGCATGATTTGTAGATTGCATCAAAACTTTTCCGGTGTTACAAATGCAATGACAACGCGGAGTTAGAGTTGAAGCTCAAGTTGGTCACGGGTTTTGGTAAGCTTCAAATTGTATTTTGGTTCCCAAAACGAAGTCTCCAGTTTGATCCTTTCACATACATGCACCGAGACGAAGAACTGTGGTGTCTACTTTCTCTCAGGACTCTACATCGGTCTGCGTAGGAGCAGAATATCTTCAATGCTTTGTCGAATGTTCCATTCACAATATTGCCATAAGAATTACACTCAGGAGAAGAGTGCATAGAGACTGTGCAAGAGGTATTCCATGTGCATCTAGAACAGAAGAATAATAGTAACGGACGGAACCCTTTACTGAGCAAGGTTTGAATCCCCGTCGGATGCCCGTCTGGAACCTTTGTCCCTGGTCAATCTGTAAAGACGTTTCTTGTTGCAGTCAAATTCGGTAAAAATCTGAACAGGCAAACAGTCAGATTGAAGTATATGAAGTTAACATTACTCAAACAAGTGCCTCTTTAAGAAAACATTTCCACATTTAAGGTATTCCACAGTCCTACATTTTTACACACTCGAATATTCGACTGAATTACAACTGATTTGGAAGGCCTAGAACTACAAGAATGGCATGGAGAAATAATGAACGGTGCACTCACCAGAAACCTGCAGAATAGACTGCTTGTGGCTAATTTTACTATTTGTAAACTGAGTACACGCAGATCTCAAGTGGGCTCCGTGTATATTCAAAACGACGAAGGAAGGTGAATATCCGGAGAAAACGCGATTTTCCGCCCCGACGATGATTTGAGGAGAAGGCGGGCCAATGTGGTGCAGTCTTGACGGTAGGCAGTTAGCGTAGGGCCTGGGCATGATGTGGCCGTCGCTCCAGCAGTGGGACCGCGCGTCTTCCCTCCCACCAGCAGCGAGCGAGCACGAGAAAAGCAGCAATTTACGAGCGCTGCAAATGTTACCGCACATGAAACCCGGGCCGAGGAAAAAATCTGCCAGCAGCCACAAAGCCTGGCCCTGCTTCGGCCTTCTTGCTCCGATGTTCGCCCCCGGCTCGGCTCCTCCGATTTATCCGCTCCGTTCAATTATTGCGCCCGGCGATTCTGCTCATTGCTGCTGGTGTCACCACTGAGCTCATCCTCTCTTCCGAGTGCTCTGCTCTGTGATCAGTGTCTGCGTGGACTGCGGGTTTGGAGGGTCGAAGGTTACGAGTTTGATAGGCGGGACTTGCGGATGACAGTGCGCTGCTGGTGCTTGTAACTATCTGCAATCGAACAGGTTTCTTGGTCCGCTTGCGTTGAATTGCTTCTCGGAGGATTTTGGTGTACAGATATATTCAACACACGTTTATGTTTGTGTTTTTGGGATGAGATTTCTGAGGCAGGGCTCTGGAGGCCACCAGAGATTCCTCCTCCTTGTCTGCATGGAGCTTCGGTGAGCTCGAATCGCTTTTGAATCCGGCCTAGCCCATCTATTGCACGGCAGTGCCTTTCTTTGCGATAGCCATTATGGCGCTATTGGGTGCCGCATGGTCAGGGGGCTGGTTCTGCGTGGAGACGAGCGGAGGGCCGTCAAAGATTACAACCGATGCTCGTTTGAAGAAAAACGTTTTGTTTGTGGCCGACCACTTGAAGACAGCTGCACTATTCGGAAATGTAAGAAGGGTAGCATGTTTTTACTCTGAGAGTTGGGATGTAAGGCTAGTTAGAAGTAACGCAGGTTTCTTTTCAAGACAGAACTGCCTGTGGCGACTGGGCATTAGTTTCTATCCATCTTCACCGCCGAAGAAGTACCGGTTTATTTCTCAATCCACTCGCAGAGTTGCAAAGGGGGATAATTGGAGAAGCGAATTTCGTGAGGCTACTGAGACCAGGAGCTTAAAGGTATCCAAATCTGTTAATGCTCCTGCCAATCTTACCAGCAACCCGCAAAATGGTTGTAGTTCAGGGCTACCTAAGATTGGACCCACAGTTGAAAATGATGATCTTGAAGCGGCGAGGCTTCCATTAGATAAAACATCTGGAGAACATCGAAGTGGAGGTGATGTGAAGGTAATAGGCGTTGGCGCAAGGGCCTGTGCTATCCTCAACTTCTGTCAGCAAACTTCTATTCTCCCCTCGGCGCAATTCTGGTAAACATACGTACTCAAGTATCTTCTGTGGGATTCTTACTTACAGGTTGAAGATTCTTTCTCTGGTGTGTTGCGTTTACAACATGTGATTCGGCACTTGTTTAGAAGCTGAAGCAGGATTTGTTGGATGCGTGGAAAAATAGTAACATTACTTTGTTGGGCCTTCTGTTTGTTTTTCTCTCCGTATATATGTCTCGCTTCTCCCTGTGTAAATATGGCTGTACAGATGTTTATAATGTTCCTTGAAGGTGACAATGTTTTGCAGATTATTTCCATATCTTGTGTACTTGCATAGTTACTGAATGTGAAACTCAAATTAGGCACTCCCAGCATGCTTCTGGGAGTCCCTAATTTGAAGACACATGCCAATTGTTATTTTCTGGCTCTGTTGTTTTTCCTCTTTTATCTCTTACATTTATAAATAACGCGGTGCAGGATGTATGGCTCTGATTCAGCTCTTCAGAATGTCCAGCTATCTGATCATCTTGAAGATTCACAATTATCTTCGGACGCTGCTGGTAAAACATGTGTGGTTTTTTGAAGATCCAGTCGTTCATTCATTTGGCTCTGGTGAAGCTTGACTTTCTTGAATTTGTAACTTGTAGATTATGACAAACGTGATCGTTTCACGAGATATTCACCAGAATTTTGGAGAATCAATATCATTACTTATCTTGGCCCAGTTCTACAGAAAATGGGGATGTCTGTACTAATATATAATGCGTTAATTAGATCGGTATCAGTAACATGACTTTCTTGTGTGTTTCAGTTGGCAATGCAGCTGTTTAGACGTAGTGATAGGAAACATCACTTTTAAAACTGGATTTATTATCTAGGTTAAGTTGTCTATATCGTCTTCCTTGCAGACTTGGCCGGAAAACAAAATGATCAAGTCAACCGGGACAAGAACTTGAATACTCTTTATCTCGTACGTATCTCAGCCGTGACCTATTCACCAGTCTTCATTCACCCTGTTGTTGCCAGTGGCATGAAGTCACGAAGAATTCATATTCCTGTATTCAATTTTTGAAGTGTGGGAATACTGATGTTTCTGTATCTCAACTCAACCTTGATGTTTCTGGCGGGAAGGTTCTTGGAGCTGGAACTGGCGCCGGATTAGGAACTGCACCCATGCAGCTGGCAGCTGCCAGGTCCAAGGGATGGCTAGCGGTTGGCATATTTATTCAACCCTTCATGTTCGAAGGTCAAAAACGCTTAGAACAGGTAATCATTCCTAGTGGAAGACTAGTGTTTGCTATGATCAGATATCAGATTTGTGTCCGCCTTTGGTTGGATACTCTGAGTAGAATCTGCATCTTAGGAATTGTAATGTGCTTATTCTTAATACTATGATAGATGCTATCATAACTTGTCTTGAACTCTACAAAGCTTTAGTTTGTCACCATATTACTTTTAACTGAAGTATCTCCGAATTACGCAAAGGACCTTTTAAGTAAGGTTCTCTCATATTATTGCTCGAAGAGTAAAATCAATTGTTCGAAGGTCAAAGTGTGCAAAGGGCGACAAAGTAATTTACCTGTAGATTGAATTTTTTTTGCGTAACTCTCGGAGGTCGTTGTATTGAACCGAACAGGTCTACCGGCCAAGGGCTGGTGCGGAAAAACCTAGAGAAATTTTGGAATTAATTTTGGGAAGAAGTGAATTGTCAATTACGTCAAATTCCCTCCTGTATCATAACTGTGCCAGCGAAGATACTTTCTACAGCTAAAGACCTCCTGATCCTTCAACCTGGGAATTATTTATTAAGGAGCACGTCCAGAGTTTTGATTTTGATCTTTTACTTGTTCGTTGGAATTTATGATGAGTTTGAGCGCTCATTACTTTCCACTGTGTGCAGGCAAATCAGCTTGTTGAGAACTTGGTAGACTGCACAGACCTGGTTTTAGGTGTGTGATCTTCTTGTCTTTGATAAGTTGTCCTTCTACAATTGCTTATCTGTTTAATACCAAAGGTTTTTGACGGAGCTTAACCTTGCTCGCGTATCACCAGTTAGCTGTAAATGGCTGCTCTCAGACCTCGCACTTAAGCTTTTGCACGACTGTTTTACTGCGAACGAACTTCTTTGATGGGATCGCCATGAGGGTCACTGTACGGAAAAATATTGGGTGAGATGGACATTGATGAGGTCGTAAAATTTGGAGTTAACGTGTCCCCTCGGTGCGTTTTTTACAGTGGTGGAGCAGGATGCTCTCCTGAGGGGCGAGGCAGTAACTGTGTCAGACGCCACAGAGATGGCCAACAATGCAGTACTCATGAGCATCTCCGCCATTTCTGATATTCAATCGGTACTAAATTTTGCGCTTACCAACACGAGCTCCTGGGCGTTGCACTCTTCAACTTTTGCTCTCTCTTTCCGCTTCTATCATCGATCAATCTGGAAAGTCGCTAATCATTTGCAGTCTGGCGTACTTATTGGAAACATGCAGGGAAAGTTAGATGTGAATCTTGCTCCAGAAGACCCTAGCAGTACTGCAGATGATCGGAGAAAGGTACAAAGTGAAAAACTCTTTCCAGGCTAAATGTGCAGATCCTAGTCGTTTGATGTGTGACGCCTTGTGTGTCAGATGCCTTCTCCAAGATTATGTGTATGCCGCATTGCTTGTATTGAGAATACTGTCTGGCTGTTGGGAAGTATCTAACGCTGTTACTGTTGCCTTCCTACAGTCGTTACAAAACACAGGAAAAGCATGGCTTGGATCAGGAAAGGGCCATAATCTGAGGGAAGCCATAGAAAAGTCTCTTGGCGACTCTCCCGCTTTTGACAGTCCATTTGTGGTAACTTGTTTCGAACATTCTCTCGTTATGCGTAGTGTTTCGTCAGATCGAATCGTCCTTTCCTTCACACGCGTTTTTCTCCAGAACTCAAAATGATGGTTATGTATGTGAATGAGGCCTGTTTACAGTCGTAGTATTGCTGTGTACGAGCCATCCCCGGTTTCTTAGAAGAAGGATTCTTTACTTAATGTTGATAGTCAAGTTTATCTCAGGAGAGGTATAAGCTGGAGTTTGAGCACTTGACTGGTTTTGTAGGGAGGTAAGGTGTCAGTTATCTGCGCCGTAGCGAGTGTAGTTGGGCAAACAAAAGAAGAATTGATTGAAGCTGAGTCGGTTTTACGGCAAATGCTGGGCTCAGAAATACAACTGATTGCGAAAGCAATAATCAACCCCTCACTGGAGCAGGGTGTGATCCTAGCTACGGTAATTATTAGAAGGTAATGATCAAAACTGGCAATTTTCAGAAGAAGTCTTCGAACTCCCTAAAGCTGATTAAAGACCCAGAGGTTTGCAATCAATTGGAAGAGATATCTTAGTTGAGCGATTGTGTACAATGTTTTCTGTATGAGGAGTGTCTGTTATGAGAGTCTACAGGACGTGCGTAATCTGTTTGCAATTAAAGATGGATGCAAAATCTCTTTACGGAGACAGATCAGAAGGATGACAACCTCGTTTGATTACGGTGTTCAGGGTGGATATTGGAAGCAAATTACGAGGTGGAAACATCGTTAAGAATGTAATTTCACTTTCGACTGAAGTCAGTGGAAGAGACACTCCATCCAGGTTACAGTCAAGTGGAACCATTGCCCCGACAGGTGTACGGAGTGCATCTAGTGGTAGTCCATCGCGTGAAAATTTACAAGAAGGAGGCTTGCCGAATAACTCTGTATCCAATGTTAGTATGGAAGTAGCCAGAGATAGCAGGTCTTTCATACGGCAAGAAGCCATCCGAGTTGAACCCCTGAATGCAGAAATCAACGCGGAGGAAAGTTCAAGCTCACTTAAGGAGAGTCGTAAGCAGCACAGTAGATCTTCGGTGAAAAAGGCAACGGTTCGATCCTACAGAACGACGACCAGAGAGGAGGTCAGGAAAGTTGACTCTAGACAAGGTTCACCCCAAGCACCTCTGGCTAGCTCAGCTAGTAAGAGGTCATGGTTAGCGCTGGGTTGGGAATCAGGTCCTAGCTCTGCTGTTGCAGAGGCATGGGCTCAAGCGAGAGCTGAGGCAAGGAGACCTGCAAAGGTTGTACCCGTTTCGAATGTGGCTTTACCAGTGGGGGTCAGGTTAAGGAATGACAAACCTCAAGTTAGTCCATTTGAAAACTATGACTATTCTGTAGAAGCGGACGGTACGGACCGGTGGGCAGCTAGAGAACCAGTCCCTGTAGATCCTGATGCAGTCCCCCGAAACAGGATGATGGATATGGGGCTAGGGGCTGTAATGGATATGTATAATGCTGCTTCTGCTTTAGTACTGGGAAAGGAGACAACCGATCAGAGGAATAAGCCTTCTCTCACGCAACGGGCATCGTCGATGCTGGTAAGCACGTTTCCAACCTTGTTTCTGTGCAAGTCAATGTGGAATTACAGCTAGCTAACTTCCTGTGCTTGGACACCAAATGGTAGTCTGAAGTTTATTGGGTTAGAATGTTTGCTCGTGTGGGAGTGCTTACACGGGAATTTCGAGTACGGGTTCTGAGCATCATTCACATTTCTGAATAATATCAAGCTCTTATCAAACCTTCAACTCAATGCTATTCAGGAGAGCGAACGAAGTCAAAAAAAACTTACGCCGATGGTCGAAATGGAGTTCAAAAATGGCACCTACCGAGGTCGTTGCCTGACTGGGCTGCCTGATGGCAAGGTAAGGAGAAACTCAAAGACTTGAGGTTCTTGACCTTTCTTATACCTCATGCTGATGAATCTTAATTATAGTACTGTGTCACCTATGTTTCTAAATAAATTGCTCGTCAGTCGTATTACATCATAGTCATAAAACGCTGTCTCGTGTCTTCAGTCGGAGGGCTCAGGTACAAGAGGTCAGGATGCTTTTCAGGGCCTGCCAAATTTGTATGAAGATTCTATCTGCCTGGGTAGTCCCGTACCTAACTTCGACTCTGAAGTTAATTTTGATCCTCACTCACTCAAATGTTGACATTCCAGGGACGGCTGACCTTCCCTGACGGTGGTTTTTATGATGGTCAATGGAAGCAAGGTAAACGTGCCGGTGCTGGTGCGTTTTATTATGCAAACGGCGATCTTTTCCAAGGTTCCTGGAAAGATGACGTGATGCACGGAAAGGTATGTTCACGAGATTGCAGGGACACTATTACTAATGAGCTCTCTTTGTGGCCCTTCTTTTTGAGTGTTAGTATCCGCTAGTTAATTCTCTTTGCAGTTTGCTCTCTCATGTTAAAGTTTACTAGCTTGAACAGTGCATGTTACTTGTGCAATTTTGTACTCGTACGACGACATCGTGCTTTGTTATAGTTTGGAAAGCTTGGATCTACATAATAAAGGAGGCCTATATGATCTTCGTTTGCAGGGTTGGATGTATTATCATAATGGAGATAGGTTATACGCGAATTTCTGGAAGGGAAAGGCACATGGTGAAGGTCGTTTTTATGCCGCACAAGGGGACGTCTTTTTCGGTCAGTTTCGGGAAAACTGGCGTCATGGAGAATGTCTTCATATCGAAGCATCAGGTGTTAGGTAAGGCCTGGTCCACTCCAAAGTTGCCTCAGTGCTACAAAGTGTTCTCGTGTTTTTTGCACGCAATTGTCTGAATACAGTTGACCCCTTACTGCTGTTTAGATTGTCAATTGCTTTTCTTCTGACAGCGTTTGATACTGCTTGAACAACTTTTTAATTACGTCCTCCACCCAGGAGTCTGGATGTGAAGAGTCAATCGGTGTGGGTCAATGATTTAGTACCAGAGCAGAAAATTGTTGGCATGCAGTCTGAGAAGATTTCCTTTTTGGTTTTGGACGTTTGGTGATAAAATTTCTTTGAACAGGTGGGCGGAGATCTGGGAAAATGGGATATTTATTTCAAGGACACCTGATGATTCATAACTGATGGGGCATCTGCACATGGATGCGGGAATAGAAAGGTGCATACAAGTATCAAGGCTGCTGTTTCGGTCCTACATCATCTGTGGACTCTTTAGGGTCATGAAGGAAGTGGTGACACAAAATCCGACTTTTATTGTTTATGAGGTGCAATATTGACAAGAGTGTCAATATGATCTGCGGAGGTGGAGCTTGAATTGCTGCTGCCGTTGAGGAAAACATGCAACAGAAGGCTACTGCTCGAGTTGTCATGCAACAGAGGGAAATCGTGTAAGGAACACTGGTTGAAAGCCATCACAATCTTTGAGTACAAGATTCATGGCAATAGATTAGCTTTAGCAAAAGATGTTTTTAGTCCACAACTTGTGGCTGTCCACTATTTCTACAACATCAGAAAAAAACAAACTGCAGGCAGTCATGCAGTTTGCTGCCTTAGAGATCTTTTTCTCAGTTTCTACTTTCTTTCGGGGTTGTGCAGTACCCAATATTGTAGGGTGTGTGACCCTTTCAATCTTCACAGAGTTAGCGTAGGTTATGTATAGAACGAGTTTCACTGAGGAATGCAATCCAGCGAAGTCAAGCTTGAAGATGACCCAGGAGGCAATGGTTGCTTAGTACTTGGGCTGTACCAGTGCGTTCTTTTGTGTGTAGAAAGATGACATGCTCCAAATAGCACACTTCAAAAAGATGACTCATCATATGTACGCCTCAGTTTATCCAGGTAAGTCGGCCATTTACGTGTCTCTGGTTCGTGCATCGAATCTTGACATCGCTGGGCCAGAAGACATCACTGGCCTCTTAGCTGTCGTGACGTCTGGCAGGGAAATTTCAAGTCGTGAGTACTGCATCGTGCGTCTTTCAGGCTACCGACCTTTGTTAGTCCCAGTTCTGGGAAAAGTTTGGAGCCAAGCGATGTATGTTTGTCATGGTTAGGCCAAGTTGTTGACATTGAAGCTGTGCGCAGCTTTGGTCTTGCTTCAACAGGTTTGTAGAGGTTTGCCTCAGTTGTCCTTACCCAGAGTGTATGACCTAGTCCTGGTCCCAAGGGTATTCAACTCCTCCGCATCCCTTCGGTGGAAAGAGAAGCCTCCTGTGTTGGAAGACAGGGGTAAGCGTTATCACCCTCTGAAATTGGATACTTAATTGGAGCTGACTTCCATTATCTCGTTTTGACAGCATGGGGCCTTGTATCCATTTTGAGTATCGAGGCCCTCGGACTTAAAGAAGAACACATCCGATGAACTTTTCAAGCTTCACACGTGATTCACGGTGCCAAGCTGATCAACTCCCCATGAACGCTTTCCTCGAGTCTCTCTCTATACTCGGAGTCAAACCTTCCCAACCGAATCTAATTCTTCGTTGGGTACTTTGCTAAAGTATCGTCATGATGGCGGAATTGCAGCCAGCTTTGTGGCTTTGACGTACACCGAGTGCTCGACATACTCGGCAGCAAAGCCGAAATGTCTTCCATCCCTCTCTCAGCAACTCGGTGGGTGCAAGCATTAAACACCGTCAGCACCTGATGATGCAGGCATTGGAAACAATCCGGTGATGGTGACAGGTCTCCATTTTATTCTTGACCTTCACGCATTCATGCCCGCCTCCTCCGTCCCTGCAAAGTGCGCTTGCAGGCTACTTACAGCAGAAGGGTTTGACTGGAAAAGCAAAAGTCATGAGAAGCTATTGCCACTTCTCTTGACATCTGCCTCACGCATGTTTCCTCGTCATTCGAATAAATGAAATCTGGTAACTAAATCACTAGCCCAGTCACGCTGCTGCAGCATTGGCTCCTTTCCACCGACACTGCACGGTGGTCGTAAAGGGCAATTTCAATCTGGTGACCGAAGTCCAATTCTCTCATCTGTGTGTACCTCACCGAGATCATCATAGACGGAGAGACATCGTGAATGGAGTACATCCTCATTACAGAAGCCCGAAGCAGAAATGGCATCTCCACACTGCCTCATGGGAGTTCGTGGAGAGAAGATTATGGTACGTGCGTCCGTCCTCAGATTCCATGACGGTGGGTGGAGGAGGGATTGCGCTGCATAGAGGAGGGGCGGAGAGAATGGAAACAACAACAATCGTCAGGAGGCAGTGAGTGAGTGTCAGGTTGAGGAAGAGTGGAAGAGTGGAAGAGCTGAACAAAGAGCTCGTGAAGACGATCCAGCAGCGCAAGCGAAGGAGATCGCGAGGCATCGACCTAAGTAAGTGCCCCCATCGAGCCGCTAGACAGATCCTTCCCTTGGGGCCCGGCCCTGGATTCGAAACCTCGAGGTTCGGGATCCTCAGACCATTCTTTAATGGAGATGTTTAGCGACGGGCCTACTTACTTTCCCACTTGCCCAGTTTGAACCAATCCACAATTTTCTCATGCCACTTGTGCACACACACTCTCCGATGATGCGATCTGATGCTCGAGCTGCATCTGACCTCCTTTTCTCCTCCTCCTATGGCATCAGAAGCAGTAACTATAAGTTACCTCTTGCGCACAACATCCGTCTTCCTGCAAGTGCCCAGCCCAGCCCCCTCCCCCTCCCCTCCCCTTGCAGACGGGGAAGGAGGAGAGAGCCCAGAAAGCGAAGGAAGACGATGCTGCTCCTTCATTCATTCATTCATTCATTCATTGCTTGATTGAGTGAGTGAGTGCGCAGGCACAAATAAAGTTGGCATGCCCCTCACGCTGTCCTCTGCCCTGACCACCATCCTGCCTCAATTCAATTCTCCTCCCTCGCCTGCCTTCCATTTGCTCTGATCATCAGGAGGAAGACGGTTGCTGTAAGAGCAAGAGGAGCAAGAGGAGGAGGTGGAGGTGGTGGAGGAGGAAGCAGCAGGAGCGAGATGTATCAGAGCAGCAGCTTCTTCCTCCTCGTTGCAGATGACATTTAATGGAGGAATGCTCTGGCTTCTCGTTGTCCCCACCACAAACAACATCGAGTGTGGCATCTTGTGTCTTGCAAAGAGTTGTTGTTGTGATCAGAGGGGGAATGAACCGCTGGTCAACTTTCTCATGTTTTTACGACTTTTTCCTTGAGCCAGATTTCTGCCCAAGTTGGGAGAGAGTCTCTTAAAGGCTTTGGCCATGCAATGAAGCTTCCATTCTGAGACACGAAGAAGTCTATATTCCCCACTCTCTCACCATATCCAAGATCTCACTTTCTTCTTCTGAACAGATCAATTTAAATATCTATATGGAGAGAAGCCTTAAAAAAATCTAGAAGGAAAGCAAAATAATTCGCATCCATTCCGTTACGAGCTCCTTTTCAGTAAAACTTTCCCACTCGTGCACTCTTACACTGACTTATTTCTACTCAACATGGTTTCTAGTTGGGTTTTCGGTAGGTGGGTGCTTGTATCATAAATTAAACAAAAAAATGTCACTCTAAGAATATAATTTACTATTCAAAAGTGAAAATATTGCAACGCGTACATATTTTAAAATATTTATAGCACCAAACTATGAATAATGACACGACACTTTATTAAGGGTTAGACGAATATTCTCTGGGAATTATAACAGATGAAGAAACGGAAGAGGAGGATTGTAATTCCGTGAGGAAGAGGAAGACTTGCTCAATAATCAACCTGCTAATCTTCCAACTACACCTCTTTCCAATACTCCTGCTGATAACCTTACAGCCCACATAGGTCTCTATTTGCCCTTCACACATTGATACGAAAGGGAGAAATGCTGGTGCTCTGCTTTAACCTAATATATGTGGAGTCTATGGGCAAGGTCTAATTTGTATTTTGTATCAGAGTTGTATAATCAGCCTTCGAGAGAATGATCTCCAAGATAGAAATGATGTAGACCAACGAGTCATGAAAAACAATGAAGAATTCACAATGGGTAGAATGAAGAAAATCAAAAGGGTTTACATCAATTCAAAGTTTCTTCAGTTGTGCTTCTTATCAAATAGCAGAAACAAAAGCTTACTGGAGCCTCCTCTAATATATAAAAATGAGTAACGAGACATGTCTCAGACTATCACCCACTTGCAAACGTTGTTACTGAACTCTGCACGCCAGCACATAAAGTTGATTCCAATGTGGTCCAGTCATATAATTTTTCGGTTGGTTAGAACAATGAATCTCCTTTGATCCCGTGATATATCTTGAACTTCAATTGTTGAGATCCATTTCAAATTACAATTTGAAAACAAGAAATGCAGAATGGATGTCCACTATAGAAGAATAAGAGGTCAAATTTACATGATTGATGTATGGAATGGATATGTGATAGATTGATGTTGTTACGATTACGGTGTGAATGGAAAGTTGGTATTTAAATGGAAAATGAAATACCAATCTTTCAACTTCATCTCTATTGTTGACAGAAGAAAAGAGTTTACTTTCAAACACATACATCTATATGGTTGTATTCCATGTATGTAGTACAATCATATAGATGAGTTATCACAAAGGAACAAAGCCAATGCAACTGCAAGGTAAAGAAAATGGTATAAATGGTTTTCATGTTAACTTTCTTTCTCGATATTAATTCTATCGAGAATATTTTGTTTTGTGGATCATTTACGCACAACATGAAATAGGATCAGGATTTTCACAATGTAAAGTATTCAGTTCTAAGTTATTAAGATCAAGAAATTGATACATATATGAAATTGTTTTTCATGATTTCTAGCATTATATTATGAAAATTTTGTAAAATATTTTTAAATTTTTGAAACATGTTACAATGCTTATGAGTATTGTATGTCACATTATAAACTATAATTGTCACATGTGCAAAGATTATTTTTTCACACTAAAAAATGATAATAAAGTAAATGGTTTTTTTTAATTATGAAAACACTTCTTGATGCTATAAATTTATGAAATAAAACATATAAGTTTATTTACAAATCTTATTTATAACTCAACCTTCTTTCTTTGTGAATTTGATTTATCACTTTTTTGATGAAGATGATCTGAAATAGTGTAAGATATTTTATCGTTGCTAAAATTACATTAATGCAACATTAAACATTCTGATCAAATGGAATTATATGTTTCAAATCATATCATCATTGTTTTGCAACTTCATTTTTGAAGTAATTTTTTTAATAGCTATTCATTCAATGCCAAAAATAATCTAGATGAATAAGTCAGGATGAGTATGAAGCTATATATCAACCTAAACTTTTTTGAGTATAAATCCTTACGTTCTTATCTAAACAAAAAAATATATATTTCATTACTTATGACAATTATTGTGTTATTGTGCATATTTCAATATAAATCTTCATCATATAATGTAAAATATCAAAATTATAAATTCAACATCTGTTATTATAGAGCCTAATTAGAAGTATTGTGATTAAATTGCATATAAAAGATATCATTTATATTTCATAATTATAAGTATAATTTTTAAATAAATATTAAATATCTATTTTTATGATCATTTTCAACATTTTATTATATTTTTTTTAAATAATTTCAGGTAAATTTTAAATTTTAAAATACATAAATTAAAATATTCTCAATTCAATAAAATTTCTCTCTAGTTTTTAAATTCAAAATTTTTTATCATTCTTATATATCAAATGCAAAAAAAATTATTTAATATACTTTAATTAAAAGTTCAAACCATATTAATGGCATCAAAAAGTTTACCACAATTCAAGTCCAAAATTAATATTTTATCGCTTTATTCAGGTGATGTTGATTGCATCCTTATCCATGGTAATCATATCAAACTATAATGTAGAGCGATAATGTAAAATCATTTACAAGATTGATAAATTTTTGCTTTATTTTGAAATTGTATTTTAGAAATTTCTATTATAATAAATTTAGAAGCATACAATGGCATGAGAGATGTGGATTAAACATGTA